TTTAATCTTCAATTACGGAAGAAGTGCAAAGGAGTCATTACGCAGCAGCTCTTCTGGTGAGTTGCCTTGCCTTAAAGCAGGGGTCCCCAACCTCTGGTGAGTGGCGGGCGAGCAAGGAAGCTTTGGTCTGCTGCTCCCCATTGCTCACATTACCGCCCCAACCACCAACCTCTCCCCAAACCCTGGTCCGTGGAAAGAGTGCCTTCCATGAAACAAGTCCCTGCTGTCAAAAAGGTCGGGGAGCACTGCCTTAAAGGATTAAAACAAGAAAAGCAAAACCTTTTAAACCAGAGCCCCAATCTGATGCAGACTGCACAAACCTGATGAGTTTCAGGAAGTTTTCAGAGAAGACACTCACTATAAAAGAAAATCAGTTTAATTTTTAAAGCTCTCCCATGTTTTTAGCGGGTGCCAATGGTCACCTGCCACACTCGCACCAGGTTGTCTGTGTAGCCAGCAAACAGAGTCTGCAAGGGAGAAATGACAGGTTAAATCAGAGCCATGGAGTTCTACAGTCCTGCTACTGCAACAAAGATGGCCCTTTTTAATCACCCACTACTATTCACGGGTGATTATGTATTCCTAGAGGAAGCAACAGCTGGCAGTAAGCACACACAGGTTTGTAAACTGGTGAAGTTAATCAAGGTCTTAATTGAAGACAGGTAACCACTGCCCCATGGACCACAATCTTCCTACTGATGCTGTGTCAGTAAAATGACAATAAGCCATCATTTTACTTATGTCAAAGACACTGGTTTTATAAATGGCTGACGAGCAGAACGTGAGAAAGGTTAAAAGCTGAATCACCTGAGGACAGACCCACTTACCTGGCCATCAGCAGACCAGGCCAGAGAGGTACACTGAGGCGGCTCTGCCTTGCTGCTGGTACTGATAACTTCTTGCTTCAGTTCATCTACAATGATTTTGCCCTCCAAGTCCTGGGGAAGGGGTAAAACCGGACACTCAGCACTTCAATGCCACTCTCAAAAGCCTCTCTGATCTGTAATTCAGTAATTCTCAAAAGAGAATGATTTTTTTTCCCCCTTGGGGACAGTTGGCAATGCCGAGAGGCATTTTTGTTTGCCACTAGTTTGCTACAGGCATCTTGTGGGAAGTAGAGGCCTGGGAGGCTGTTACACATCCTAAAGTGCACAAGACTGCCTCTTCCAACAATGGATTACCCGAAGTGTCAATTGTGCTGAGGTTGAGTAAATTGCTACACTTGGTCATCCTTCTTTTTCAGTAGGCAAAGATCTACCACCACTGCAAATCCCAATCCCAAGAAGTTTTACTCATTCTTCTCAGGTATCCACTGGCAGTGTGATGGTTCAGTTGTTCAGGAAGTTCAAATCCCACCAGTGAGCCAGATGACACATTGGGAAATAACATTGCCAGGGCTTGCAGAGCCAGGTATCTGGCCTCAACTGCAGCCCACACTCACCCAGATCTTGATGCTAGGGCCCGTAGCAGCACAGAGCCAGTAGCGGTTGGGACTGAAGCACAGGGCATTGATGATGTCCCCACCATCTAGCGTGTAAAGGTGCTTGCCTTCATTGAGGTCCCACAACATGGCCTGGCCATCCTGGGTGGACAAGGCACAAGTGAGGACAATGTGACTTCTTCCGGATGTTAATCCCATCCACCTTGTCTCAAGATTCTGCCTTAGTTCTTAACTGCTTATCACGGTACCCTGACCTCCCCAAAGCCAATTTCTCAAGTATCAACATTTATCTCTGTATGCTTTTCCTTTAATACATGACACCTCACTAACCCTATCAAGAGTCTCTGACAACTTCAAAATGCATCACTATAAGCTCCAAAAACACAGGATCCTAATCTCATCAGCAGCTTTAAGAAACCAGCTTCACAGAAAAGGATCTCTTTTAAAGAGCATACCATATCTATGTCATTTTCAGAATATTCTTCAGAAACATTTACTCTTAAATTGCTATCTCATTATCTTAGGTATTCTAAGACACTGTCCCCCAATGAGTAGGAGACTCCTGGCCTCTGAATACCTTGCCTCCAGAAGCACAGAGGGATCCATCTGGAGAGACGGTCACAGTGTTCAGGTAGCCTGTGTGGCCAATGTGATTGGTCTTCAGCTTACAGTTTGCCAAGTTCCATACCTGGAATTGTGGGTCATAGGTGAAGAACCTGGCCTGGGGATCCATCAGGGTCAAGAGGGCTCAGCTCAAATAAAAGGCATGGCACCGTGCTTAAAAGTATTCCTAGATAGGACAGCCAATTTCCATTCTATCAGTAACAAAGAAAGGTCAAAGAATCTGTCTTGGCAATGTAAGGACAATGAGGATTAAAACTGGGGAGGGGGAGAAAAAAAAAAAGCTTTCTGTGTTGCCATCTTACAAGGGACTCTGGGTTCCCAATTAGCTACTTCAGACCAAATATCAAAATTTAATGGCCTGTAATGAGCAAATATCAAGAAAATGGTCACTTGAGGAACAAAGCTTTCAGAGCGACCAACTGGGAGGCAGTGGGAACACATTCTGGTTGGCAAAGGCCTTACACCTTGGGTCCAAGCTCACCTTGACCAACTTGTCCCAGCCACAGGAGACAATAATGGGATTGCTGCTGTTGGGTGAGAAGCGGACGCAAGACACCCACTCTGAGTGGCTCTCATCCTGCAAAGAATGGAAAGGAAATAAGGAGAAACTGTCTTGTCCCATGAAACTGTAGACCCCCACCCCTCCCCTCAGTTACGTGGGATGTTGACAGTCTTGTATTCATACCTTCAGAATCCAAACCTTTAAGACTGACAGAACCCCTTTAGGTTCCAGATGAGGCTTGAAATCACCATATAAAGGCACCATTAAGAAGGGTGGGAGAAAGTGTTCAACATGTGCTCCCTACACGTGCCTTCACTTTACCTGGACAGTGTATTTGCATACACCCAGAGTATTCCATAGCTTGATGGTTTTATCTCGGGAGCCAGAGACAATTTGCCGGTTGTCAGAAGAGAAGGCCACACTCAGCACATCCTTGGTATGGCCTACAAACCGGCGCGTGGTGGTGCCCCTGAAAGGAAGGACGTGGTTACTCTCTAGACCGACTTTGCAAACATTCTTACACAGTCAGACTGTTTCCCTGGCCTGGTTCCTCTCCCAGTGGAGCGGCATCACTCACACAACCCTGGATATGGCTTTGATAACAGCAGGCCCTTGGCCGAGAATATGCCGGAGAATCCCTTCAGAATTGCAGGACATGTCCTCACTCCCATGTGGGGATTGGTTGACAATGTCACCTCTCATCACCAAGATCCTCCGTTATGCCTGACCATCCAAAGACTGAGCTACCAGCACACAACACAGTCAAACTGTGCCTACTCCCAAGTGCAATATCTGATAAAACTGCTCGGCCAGACCACTCCTCAGCAATTCTGTATAACATTAAAAACAAGGAGGGTGGCCACACAACTATCTTCTCCAGGTATTCTCTGCCTTATAGTTCCCACAACGAACCCATCACCCCTGGGAAACCACTTCCAGATATTATCTACCTCATTTCTACCCAGCTTTCCCCCAGTGCCCCAGAGCAGCTACTTGCGTTGTGAGATCCCAGAGGCGAAGGGTTCCATCCCAGGAGCCTGAGAGGGCAAACTGGCCATCTGAGGAGATGACCACGTCACTAACAAAGTGGGAGTGACCCCGAAGAGCACGCTGTGGGATACCGTAGTTGGTCTCATCTCTGGTCAGCTTCCACATGATGATGGTCTTGTCTAAGGGCAGGTAAAACAAAAGAAAACCCAGTGAGAAATCCCACAGCCCACCCTCTGACCTACTGGATAATGCCTCAAGGTGACTGGTGGGCTCACAAGATTAATTAAGGGCGTTTAGGGGGTAGGGGAACTACAGGCTATGACTGCAGTTACTAGCCAAATCCAAGTGACTCTCTATTCAAGAGTCAAGTAGAGCTAAGTGGTACCCTGAGAATTTAACTCAGGTGTGTGGAACTTTACCAGGTTATGGATGCCCCTTTTGGAGATTCAGACCGATTCAACGTCTATTTTAAGTATTTTCTGAGATCTAATGCATTAACACAGCAGCCTGGGTGTGGGAAGACTAGCTGTGGGCCTCCAAAGACTACTGAGGGCTGCAAGAAGTGCTGGAATTAGAAGTCACTTTAGGCGCTACAGGACTGCCTGCTCTCCCTGCAACGTGTTCCACTCAACAAGCTTTCCTATTAAGTGCCAGACATGATCCTAGCCTTAGATGATCCATTTTTAAATAGCGTGGGCGCAAACGCAAGGCACAAGAAGTCTCCAAAGGCAACCAGGTACACAGTGAATAAGAAAAACCCAGAGCAGAATGGGCAGACCCGGGTTAGCCGTGAGACTGATGTCACGAGGTTCTCCGTGGAGTCCCCCCACTTCCCACCGAGTAGACGGCCGGGCGGCAGCTCAGAAACAGCCTCTGGGTTTCAGCATGGGCACTCAGATGGCATGTTGGGTTCATCACCGCGCCGCCCGACCCGTAGGCTCCTAGGCACACAGCCACAGACGCGGGTTAGGGTACTAGAGACTTTAAAAAAGCCCCCAACCGTGCAACCCTCCCGGCAGCCATCCGTGTTTCGGAGTCTGCCAAGTGGGGACGCCTCATGGGTTTAGCCGTGCTGACAACTAGGCAGGGGTCAACTCACACCCCACCTCGCGGCCCACAGGCCCAGTCATGCGAAGCGCGCAACGCCCCCTACCCCTCAGTCCTCTACCTGACACCTCAGCCGTACCTCGAGAGGCGGACAGTATCATGTCCGGGAACTGGGGAGTGGTAGCGATCTGGGTCACCCAGCCGTTGTGGCCCTTGAGGGTGCCACGAAGGGTCATCTGTTCAGTCATGACGGCGGCGGATGCGGGTGTCGCCGCAGCGACAAGGATGGAACTGGATAGCTCAGAGAGACGACCCACACACACACGTTCCTGCCGCGGCCCTGCGGAGAGAAAGAGCAAGCAGCTCCGCGCCGGAACCGGAAATATCCGACCTCCCGAGCAAAATGGCGCCCTCCTTATAATTCACTTCTGCTCAAGATGGTGGCGCCGTGTAGTGCACGGTGGGATGTAAAATAAGAAGACCTCACGGTCTCCTCCGCCGCGCAACATAATTCGGCAACACCTTACAAATACATTCCGAAACCAACACGCCCGAATATTTAAAAAAGGCTCCTCACGGTTGGGGCATGAGGTCTAAGAAGCGGAAGAGAGAAAGTGCACGCCCCATTCCCGTAAGGATCGCCTAGCGTCTTCACTCTCCCTACGTGGCTCAGCGCGAACCCGGCCCTTTCCGCTTTGTGGCTTGGAGGGCAGCGGAGAGGGAGCGTAATTTCGTGGGCGCAACTGTGAGTAACGGTGGGCGATGTGAAAAATACGGTATTAAATTTTAAAAATAAACTGTGCTCAGGTAAACTATTAAACCCTAACATTTCCTTGCGCGCGGGGGGCGGGGGCAACTCTTCCCTCAAGAGATTGATGCTCTGATGGTTTTGGTTGAGGAACTCCATGCCCGGAAAGACTTAGTCCACCCAGGACTAAGGCAGGAATGGGTTACAGAGCGGAAAACCGGGGATGGAGGAAAAATCAGTCTGTGGGCTGCTGGACAGTAGCCCGCTCCCTCCTAGGCAAGAGCACGGAGAGCTCTCGCAGAAACTGAAAGGCCCCGAGAGGAAGGACCTCCGGGTTCTGACTTCTCCGTACTCGCGCCAAACCACTCACAGAAAGGTGAGGGGTTTGCGGGTCCAGGCGTGCCCAAGTATTTCATTCCTGTTTGTAACATGTATTAACTTTATTTTCTCATCTGTGAAATGAGGGTGGGAATAATAGTACCTGCCTCACATGGTGTGGAGAGTAAGTGGGTTAAGATAGGTAAAACGCCCAGAAAAATGCCTGGCAGAGTAAATGCACGCAACTTAGTGAGCGCCTCTTGGGTACCAGACCCTATTTTAGGTCTTGGGAATACAGCTGTGAACAAGATAAAACGTACCTGTTTCTTTGTTGCTTTTTGAGTTTACATACGATGGGATGGAGAGGAGAGAGCTCGAGGGGGAGATTTTAACAAAGATAGGAAGATGTGGGAGAAAGCCCTGAGAATTTATGGGGGGATAATGTTCCAATCGGAGGTAAGAGTCAGTGCAAAAGTACAGAGCTGGAGCGTTGGAGGCCGTGGGGACCAAAACAATGAGATGGAGGTGGGGGGCAGTTGACTGAGGGCCTCGCAGTCTGGGGGAAGGACCTTGGAAAGCCGTGCTAGAACGCGTGCCTTTGGGAAAAAAAGGCAAGCGGCAATGGCAAAGCTGCTGTGGGTTATGGCCACTCAAGTGTGCGAAGAAGGCCAGAATCCGTCCCTTGAGAGCAGCTACTCTCCTGGTCCCTTGCAGACCCCTGCCTTCCTCCGCAGTCACGCTGGTCTCCACCATAGCCTAACGACTGTCCTTTAAGGCTTCCAGGCTTGTACATCACCTGCCTCCATGGCGCCCCCACCTGGCTATCCTGTCGCTTTTCCAACACTGAACTCTACCCCCACCTACGTGTTTTGTTTCTCCTGTGGTCGTGGTAGACCCTCGCGTTTACTCACCCCAGTATCCAGCTCGCTGCCCATGACTCCCGCCGTGCCTGCGCCCCACTGGGCGCTCAGCACAGTGGAGAGGTTAGCGATTCTTTGTCATCTCAGTATGGAATGTGGGATGTGTTGCCCAGCATCTCCTCTCTGCCCTCGAGAACACTGGCTCCTCCACCTCCTACCTCCACTCTCCAAAGACGCCATCACTCAATCACATTATTACATTTTTTCCCCTCGAGAAACCTCATTCGGCTCTCTGTTTCTTGAACTTTGCCCGGGGTGCCCCTGTGGAATCCGCGTCCCCGAGGTAGGCCACCAGGAGACTAGGTTCAAAAGGAGCCAGCCAGGTCCTTCACACCGGCTCAAAGATGGGACCTTTCTGTAACATAGGCTCTTTTCCAGAAGCCTCCCAGATAAGCCCTGCCCTCCCGGGTTCCCCAGCCGACCTCTGCCCAGCCCCTCCCAAGTCCTCTTTGCCCTGCCTCTGGGCCGAGACCCTTGAAGGTGCCTTTCCTCCCCACACTTGTCTCTACTCTTGAGACGTTCTCGCAGCGCGGCCTCCTATGGGGCCAAGGAGGGAATTCAGGTTTTGCCCTGGAGCCCACCAGGACTAAGCCAGTGATGCCAGTGGAGGAGAGAGAGAAATGGGATGTAGTGGAATTTCCTGTTGACCAGAGACCCTGCAGGATTCAGGCTTTCCACTTTAGAGTTTTCCTGCAACCACCACCTGGCCTATCCTTTCTTGGAGGGTAGGCCAGCAGGCCATAATGCCACTGAAAGACAATCTTTAGCCGAAGGAGGCCTTGCCCCAACCCTGGGGACGCTGGGGACCTCTGGCAGTAGCTCCGGCGGGGGCGGGGGTGGTGGTGGTGGAGCAGCCTTTCCTGCCCAGCCCCAGCTGCAGTTGAGCCCCAACCACGCCCACTTCCCTCAAGGGTGTCCGTGGCTTCCTGCTGGGCATCCAGGTCCTCGCCTGGCCCGGTTAGGGTCCACCTGGTCTCCTCACTCCTCTCAAGTAGGAATCTGTAGGTTCACTCTCAGTTAGCAAAGGGAGCCTGGCCTTTGGGAGAAAGGGACATAGAGTAATGTCCCTCCGCTGCTGGATAGTTTGAGAATCAGCTGTGCCTTTCACAACGAAGTCTACTAACTACTCTAGCCAGGTTGGGCCGGGCCTCCAGGCCTCTTCCTTCTCACCCAGGGCATCTTTTCTCCAACCTCAGGGAGGTGGAAGCCTGCTCTCACCTGCCCTTTGGGGAAAATTCAGCTTTCCTCCAAGCCACCTTCTCACTTCTCCAGGCCGCCCACGCCCTATAGGCAAAACTGGTCCTGGCCCCGAGTTTAGTGTTGTCTCACCCACTTATCATCTGAGCCCCTGGGCTGCCCCATCTTTCCCGTCCCAGCAGGCACCACCTCCATTCCATGCAAGGTACGAATCCCACGGAAGAAACTGGAGAGGCTCTTCTAAGGAAGTCTGTCTCACTATTCCTTTTCTGAAGGGAGCCCCCAGGACCCACACAGCTGGAAACAGCCCCTTAGGCTTCTTGCCAGAGGCCCGTGATCTCCGGGAGCAGAGGCCTCCATCCCCTCCTGCCAGCATTCAAGAGGTGAGAGCGGTCTTCCCTTGAATGCTGAGGTGAGGGCTTCTGTAGGTGCTGGGTAAGGGACGGAGGGAAAGGTGTGTGGCCAGGACCAGAGGGCCTGCTGACTGCCAGCCCTGGGCAGGCGGTTTCCCTTCATCATTTTACTGTCCTTCTGCGGATTCAGTGTGTTTGGCTCTGGCATGCCCCATGCTCTGTTGCTGTGACTACATTGGCCCTCCCTTGCTCCTCCAACTCATCCGTTCTCTCCCACACAGAACACACACTGTTCTTCTGCCTGGAAGGCCCACCGTGTCTAACCCCCCTTTTCTTAGTTAAATCTAAGCTTCCTTCAGGTCTCAGCTCCGGTTGCCACATCTGAGAAGCACTCTGTGACCCTCAGATGTAGGTGAGGCTCCTTTATTTCATGCTGTCATAGTGGTGGTGCAGTGTTTGTTGGGTCTCATTTAAATTCTGCCACCGACTCCTCTGAGTGCCCTAAGGACAGGGACTAGGCTGTTTCTGCTCATATGTTGCATTCCCAGCACCTGGTAGAGGCTTTGGTATGAGGAAGATTCTAATCATGGTGGCCAGCCTCACAGGCTGAGTAGTTAGGGGCAAGTAGTTAAAGGGAGGGGCGCTCCAGGCAGAGGGATCAGCTTGGGGGACGAGGTGTGCAAGTGGTTTGCATGCACAGGTTTGGGAGTGATGGTTTCAAGAAGGAAAGTAGAGTGAAATCCAAGGTGGGCAGGGAACCCTAGTGCTTTTGTCCTGAAGCCCAGGACAGTCTCTTTAGGATTATCTCATCCCTCTCCTGCCTAGCCTTGATTTTACTGAAAGGCATCTGTAGTCAGAGTGAAGGCTAGGTTGGAGGAGTAAGACTAGAAACAAGTAGAGTTCAGAAGCTGGACAGGAGGGTCTCCTAGAGGATCGTGAGAGTCTTACAAAGGAAAGGACAGAGGACTTAACCAAAGGCCTTATGAGTGAGGGGTTGACCATCTCTTCCAATCCATCTCTACCCTGCTTCCTTTACTCCAGGGTCTAGACTCGGGTTCTGAATACAGAAGCTATTTAATGATTGAGGCCTAAAGAATTAAGTTCAAAAAGGCTGGAGACAAGGAAATGTGAGACTGTAATTATAGGTTCTGTTCCATTCTTCCTAGTGAGAGGTGGGGATGTGGCATTAAATCAATGCTGGGAACAGATCTTAGAAAGAAATCACATGCCATTTTTTAATGTCTCTTGAAAAAGATTCCTTGTCCATCTTAGCCAGTAATCTGAGGTCTAACAGTCGCCTAGAAAGCTGCTAAGGCATTCTATTGGGTCTTCTCTGCGAGAGGGACTGTGGGATTCCCCAGGGCCTGGGTGCTTTAGCAGATGTGCAGAGTCAGAGGCTATGAAAGTGGGCATGATCTGGTCAGGTGTATTCCAGGCAGGACTATAAGAAATGCCAGCAGAAGGCAAGCTTCTTGCCTTGTTAAAGGATTTAAAGCAGCATTAGGTGGTAGGGAGAGACAAAAGGTGGCCCAAGGTGCCTGTTCTCGGCTTTTTACCAGGAAGAGGATTTCATATGAACCAGGGTCAGGAGATTATGTTGAAATGGAACGTTGAAGCTAGCTAGCTCACTACAAGATATGACAGCTGAGGAGACAGCCCTCAGCTCTCATAACCCTTCCCTGCTCACACCTGGGTTAAACAGCCAGCGCCTGCTGAGAAATTCCATCCTTTGCTACAGAGGGAGAGAAGGGATTTTATGTGCCTAGGAAATGGTAGACAAAAAAGGGGGTGTGACCTCCAGGGATCCTCTTGCAGGCCACCTGGATCCCCATTTATCTTTGCAGGGGCCCTGCTAGATGCCAAGTGGAATTTTCGACCAGAAGCCTCTGACCAACTCTGGATCTGAATCCTTTAGGATGGGAGAAAAGGCAAGGAAGGCCTAAGCATGAACCTCAGTTAGTGAGATAGATATGGAGGAATGAACCTCCCTGTTCTTTAAGGCTATATCTAATTCAAATCCCTGAGGTATCCATTTTCCCCCCTTTTTGGAAGGGGGATAGTTGGGGAGAAGAGTAGCAGGTCTCCTAGTAACAGGAGCCTTGTGGCATCTCCTCCTATACTTCCCACATGCACAGATGAGCTGTTTCGCCAAGCCCCAGATTCTCATACTGTACCTCTGAGGACTCTGGCTTGTGGGCAAACACTATCATTAAAAGTTAAATTTATCATTACCTTTAGCTCTCACAGTCTCCTCTTCAGCCCTGCTATTCTTAGAACCTCTCACTTCATCTTCTCTCATTAACACTGCTGGCGCAAACTGCTTTCCCTTCCAGGACTCCAAGACCTCCTCACCACCTTCTGTCAGGATCTAGTGTGAAAGGAGAAAGGGAAGAACCTATTTACCTGCTTAAATACTAGGTTCTGCCCCTCATCCCATTTTCAAAAAGTCAGGCATGAAATAAAACCTTATTTATACTTACACTCCTCCTGTTTTGAGGTTCTAGCCCCAGCTTTTTTGGGGAAGAGGGTAATGGGGTTTTTTTTAGCTGCTTTTCACTAGAGTTCTCCCCTGTCACATCTCTTACATGTGATCCACACGGATCACAACTGTAACCGGCTCAAGGCCATTTTGGTCAGATTTTTAAAAAAAAGAGAGCTGCCTTTTCTCCTTTTATACCTAAAAATATCACCTTACAGCCGTCTCTCTCCTGACTGAGAAAAGAAAGTTGTCTTACTTCTCCTTTTTCTTCTTCCCTTTGGACTTTACTACTCCTGAAGGTCCTAGGAAGGACCAGAGTTCAACCTGCCTTTTTTTGTATAGAACTGTACAGTTCAACATGATTTGACAGCCACTACCCATATATGACTATTTAAATTAAAATTAAATACAATGAAAGATTCGGTTCCTGAGTTGCACTTGCCACGTTTCAAGAGCTCAAGTCATATGTAGCCTGTGGTGCCTCTACTATATTGCATAGCACAGATTTAGAAAACCTCCATCATTGCAGAAAGTCCTTTTCGAGCTGGTATAGAGGGCTAGTGTCCCTGTCTCCCCCTTTTTGTAATCCTATTTTATCAGTCCATAGATATTTGTGCTAACTTCACTGTTATAGGATAGCTTTCAAAGGTGGTCAGGGATTAGGGGTGGGAAACAGCACAGAATCTCTTGGTCCTATAAATGTTTCAGAAGGGATGGCATAGGGACCAGAGGTTGATGGCCAATCTAAGGAGGAGCCTCAGATTTTAAGGAAGTGCTTTAAGGGCTGATGTTATATAATATGTATCAGCCCAGGGGTTCTCCCACTCTGACAGGAACAGAGAGGCTCTGGTCTTATCTATAAGTTCTGAATAATACTTAAAAAAACAAAATAAACAATTGCCCTGTGGCCCTGCTGAAACTAAGGAATAGCTGAAGTGATTGCCTTTTCTTGCTAATTGTTTCTAGATCTCAATTTCATATACTGCTTTATCTGTTTTAGCCCTTGATGGCAGTGATATAGACAGCTCTAATGTTTACAAAAGGCCTGTTGACCCTGCCACCTGTATGCCAAGAGCTGGGAGAAGTGGGGGTCATATCAATTAATCCACTGATGCTAAGGCTACATTTAATAAAATTCCAGATAGGTGAGGCTGTTCTTCCACTGAACACTTTTGAACACCTGTGCTAGGCACTGGCTATAGGGCCTAAGTGAGGCTAGTAATGGCACGTCCGTAGATCTGACCACTTTTCCCTGAGACTGGACAAGTGGTTCTCAACCAGGGATGCTTTTGCACCACCCCTCCCCAAGACATTTGGCAAGGTCTGGAGACATTTGTCGTTGTCACAATGGTGGAGAAGTGCTCCATACATCTAGTGGGTAGAGTCCACGGATGCTACTAAGCATCCTTGAATGCACAGGACATCCCCCACGCCCCAAAGCAAAGAACTATCTCACTCAAAATGTCAAGAGTGCTGAGGTTGAGAAACCCTGGTCTAGACCACAACATGGATCAGTTCTTCGTGCCAAGACTAATCATGCGGTCCAGGGTCAGAAGGATAGTAAGTGAGGCTAACAAGTGTCTGATAAATTGGGAAAGAAAAAAAATTAGGAGTCAGTGCAACAGTGACCTCCATAAAGATGAAGGGCAGGTATAACTGGAGTGTGTTTAACTGCACTGGAATGCTAAGAGCTAAGGTCATGGTGCAATTGGAGTTCAGGATTTCAGATGTGTAGCAAGTCTGTGTGAAGATGAGGTGCAGGGTACAGCCACAGGAGTAGAGAGGAGCAAGCTTAAACAGTCTGTCTTGTGATACAGCAGTCAACAGCTGAACCTAGTAGGGAAGACATTGAATAAGCAGATGAGCGTCTGGTGCATGTAGATATATGTCAGTTTTTCTCAATGTTTTTGTAACCCACACCTTTACTTTCCATATACCTTCACATCTCACATTCTCTCTCCCTCAGTGTTATTTAAAATTTCAAAATTAAGTTTCATGATTAAAATTAATCAAAGCAATGGTAAATTTTGGAAGGCAAAAATTTATTCAGATTATGTAATAACCATGTCACTATTAAGCCTTAACTTTTCTTTCCTGGATGGTGTAGAAGATGCAACAAAACACAAGCTGCTTTGACAACACTCTTGCAGTGTTTTCTCCCACAGTTAGTTATACCAAAAAAAAAAAGCTTTTAAGATATAAGGAGAAAATGGAATAACGAATGGATTAAAGTCTGAAAGTTTCTAGTCAAAACAATCAGACTTTGAGTTCCACAAACTCCTCCTGAAGTTTTTCCAGTGAGGACTGAACATCAGTGTGAAACATTTTTCCCAAAAGCTACCGCAGGTAGGTCTCAAGAACAAGGTCAAGAACACATCACCCAAAATAGTTTTAGATTCCCTTCCTTCCTTCCTTTTCCTTCCTTCCTTTTCTTTCCTTCCTTCCTTCTCTCTTTCTTCCTTTCCTGGAAATAACATTCATGTATCCCATTCTCTAAAGATTGACCAAGAAAATTAAGACATTTTTAGCATGAGTTTGCTATCTGTAGCTAGATTTTTGGCAAGTACTTAAAGTATTTCGTAATGAGCAGTGATGTTGGTGTTTGCCCCCTGACATTTCAGGGTCAATGTATTTTAAGCCTCAACGTGTTAAATTATGCTTGAAGTTTTTTTTTTGTTTGTTTGTTTTTTTGTGGTACGCGGGCCTCTCACTGTTGTGGCCTCTCCCGTTGCGGAGCACAGGCTCCAGACGTGCAGGCTCAGCAGCCATGGCTCACGGGCCCAGCCGCTCCGCGGCACGTGGGATCTTCCCGGACCGGGGCATGAGCCCGTGTCCCCTGCATCGGCAGGCGCACTCCCAGCCACTGCGCCACCAGGGAAGCCCAATTTTTGAAGTTTTAAAGTACAGATTCTTTATCACAGGTGTCCCCAAATCAGTTCTGTCCATAAATTCAGCTGAACTAAGTTCTTTGACAACCAAGGAACCTCAGTATATGACAGAAAATACTCTCAACAGCATTCAGATTCAGATGTACTATTTTTCACAACAGTTATGCTGACAGCAAGGCTTAAGATTTCCAGTAGATTATGGGCAGACTGATGGAAGTCGATGCTTGATGGTGACTGCTGCAGTACATCTTTCTTTCTTTCTTTCAAAATACATTTATTTATTTATGGCTGTGTTGGGTCTTTGTTGCTGTGCACGGGCCTTCTCTAGTTGCGGTGAGCGGGGGCTACTCTTCATTGTGGTGTGCAGGTTTCTCACTGTGGTGGCTTCTCTTGTTGCAGAGCACAGGCTCTAGGCACAGGGCTTCAGTAGTTGTGGCATGCGGGCTCAGTAGTTGTGGCTCATGGGCTCTAGAGCGCAGGCTCAGTAGTTGTGGCGCACAGGCTTAGTTGCTCCGCAGCATGTGGGATCTCCCTGGACCAGGGCTCGAACCCGTGTTCCCTGCATTGGCAGGCGGATTCTTAGCCACTGCGCCACCAGGGAAGCCCTGCAGTACATCTTGAATGCCAGTTTTCTTGAATTTTTGACAAAGACCCATATCTAAAACATGTCATTGCTGTAGCACTACCAACATATACTCCTATAATTTTTTTCTTCCAACTAAGTTCATTTCAAACAACTTCAAAAATATTGTCTTTAGTGCTCGCTTAGTGAAAATAGCACATCCACAGTTTTTAAAGCCTTATTCTGAACATAAACAAAGCACAATTTTCTTCATCAGTAGATTAATCTCAACTAATAGCAAAGAAGGATGAGCTGTTTTTTTTAAAACCTGATGTTTGATATGCTCAGTCAATGAATTCAGAGTTCAGACGCAGAAGTTGATGAAGAAATTCTGGAATTCCTCAATTTCCTCGCAAAGTTGTGGCAGCATTCGGAATGCAAGGTTTCACAAGTTTCTCCATTTTTTTTCTCCTTTGCAGTTAAAAGGGCTATTTAATAGTAAGCTTTCATTGCCTTTGAAGATTCCTGTTAATATTCCAATACTGTCCAGTCTTAAAACTGCAGAGAATTGTGCTCTGCAGAATACTGTTTTTAGTGGCATAACTTTAACAGTGTTTGGCATGTGTCACTGCCCAACACTTTCAGATAACTCAGCCGAAGAAGTTGACCCTATCTTCTGCATAATACATGAATCCATACTTGATAAAAGCCTCAAAAAATTTTTGGCTGCCATCTTTAGCTACCTCAAAGGAGAAAACAGAAAAACAAGGAGTACTGATGATGGAAGCATCTGGTCCCTCTTGCAGAGCGATGAATGACTTTATCAGCGGCAGCTGGGTGGCAGGGCAATTACAGGCATCCAGTTATGCCTGAGCCTCAACAAGTGAAATCTTTGTTCATTTTCTTTTTATACACCCGTCTGCCGCCTAAAACCTGACACCATTTAATGGTGCCCTTGGTCAATCTAAATGATCTTATTTTCATAATCCTCTGATTCTAGCTTGAAGAGTCAAGACGAACTCTAACTCATGGGATGGACAAAATGGAAGATGTAAATAAGTAAACTTTTCAGAGCTAAAAAGCCTCTTCTTATACAAAATTAAACTTTAAGGAATAGCAGTATAAATGGCACCATATCCACAACAAACATCTCTGGGTATCCAACTAGTTATACACCCCACTGACAATAGGCCTTATTCTGAATGATTCTTGCTCCATCTTTGTATTCCCACCAGCCAAGGAGTTCTTTCCAATTTATTTCTTATATTATGAAAAATTAAATCTTTTTTTCTTTTTAACATTATAATACTAAATATGATTTTATAAATGATAACTCTCCCCATACCCTGCAATGCTGGTATGTGTGAAGGGAGGGGGCGAGAATGCCTTTCTTTTCTATTCCTGAAAATCACTGACCTATTCCTTGAGTCTATGAGTAACAACTCCCGACTCATAGTCCCTAAAACTAAAAAAGCTTGATCACCTCCAAAGTAAGATTAAAATCTTGTTGAATTAGTAGCCAACAACAGAGAATTTAACGTAACCAGAACTATGTGGTGGCTAATGTATAGCATACTAAATAAACCATTATATAAAAATAGTTCTGGGCTTCCCTGGTGGCGCAGTGGTTGAGAGTCCGCCTGCCGATGCAGGGGATGCGGGTTCGTGCCCCGGTCCAGGAAGATCCCACATGCCGCAGAGCAGCTGGGCCCATGAGCCATGGACGCTGAGCCTGCGCGTCCAGAGCCTGTGCTCCGCAACGGGAGAGGCCACAGCAGTAAAGGCCCGCGTACCGCAAAAAAAAAAAAAAAAAAAAAAAAGTTCCATATAATGTTAACTATTGTGAGAGTATTGTGAGAGTTTTGTATACTATGATTCTAAATCATGCCACTGTAAGGTGCATGTTTACCAATGAAAGGAAGTGACAAAACTATAAACTGTATAAAGAATGAAAGACTATGTCAGTTAATATCAGTTTACACATAGCCTACATAATTTTTACGTCTTCAGTGTAACTCCTATGTTTGGTAACACCATCAACCTAAGTTCTGGTATATGTTTGAAAATAAGTTTTATTTTTTAAAAAAATATTACATATTTTGAAAGGGATTATCTCCTATTTGTTTAACTTGGTTTTGCTGTTTATACTTACTAAGGTGCTTTATAAATAACTTCTGAGGTTTCAAATGAGTGTTAGCTGGTCTCCCCAGATGAAAAGACCACCTCTTTTCTCTTGTCTAAATTGGCTTTCAATTAAAATTTTGGTTTCAAAATCCTTTCTCGAGAATCCTAGCAGAGGAATGAAAGGTTACCTCCTCTCCTCAGCTTCAATGTACCAAAACCCAGAAATATAGGACATAGTTTCTTCTATAAGCAAACTTAATTATTACCCTGGGGGGAAAGCATGGTAGTAGGGTTTATCCTTACATCATATTAATATGATGATGGAACTAGCAGTGGTTTGTAGTGAAGATTTGAGTCTTAACTGTGCACTTGCCAATAGTTACTGTGAAATGGGGGGTGATGATATTATCTAATATGTAATGCCTGTAGGGCAGTGTTATGTTTGTGTTTTGAAACCAAGTATACACCTGTGTACATATAATTTAAAAGTTTCATAAAACAATACTTACTGTGCTCCCATGCACTCTGATATTTTCTCTTCTCTTTCATTTAAAAATAATGCTGGGCATAATCCATTTATTTTTAAGACCCACTAATTGGTCAAAATCTATGGTTTGAAAGTCACTGCTGTAGAAGAACATGAGGAAATACATTTTATAAACTAAAGCACTACTAAGACGTGAGCAGTTGCTATTGATTATAAGACTTATGGACTTGAAGGCAACCTCTCCCTCCTTGGGTACTACTAGCAGTCACATCCATCTAGGCTTTTTGACAGTATTCATGCTGTCATTGAGACAATTTTCTAATACTCAGATCAGGCCTAGAAAGCAAGGTATTAACCAAATCAGAACCCAAAGAAATGAAAGGAAACTAGAGGAAAGTCAAACTAAAGAAACATTTGTTCAGCGCTTTATGGTTTATAAAATACTTTCACATATATGATCTCTTTTAATCTTAACAAGCCTAAGGGAAAAGTAAAGCTAAGAGGTTGAGACTTGCCCAAGATTAGACAGTAAATTGCAGAGCCAGGTCATCTGATCCTAAATCCTTAACTTCTTCCACTCTGATAAAATACCAGGTAAGGAAAGTGATCAGGCCAAGAGGTTTATTCTGAACCATCAAAGATGTTTATGCCCTCTGCCTTTCTCTACAGGGAAAATGGGCCCTACTGAAGGTGGGAAAGTGACCCCAGACTTTGGGAGGGTGGGTGTGTCCAGTTGCTCTATTAGTCCAGGAATCACACCTGGATTTTTGGTCTAACCAGTATTAGTCCTCTGTTTTGACACTGCTTGTGCTGACGTCCTGAATGTCTGTTATCTACAAGTACTGTGGCTTTCCATTCCTATATATTAAGGATCCCCGAGTCTTGGTCAGGTATAGACTCAGGACTCACATCAGAGGGAAATTAAGTACTGGGGGTGGGGGGGGTCTGTCACTTATACCCCCTTATACTTCGGTAGATTGAAAGGGAGTAACAACAGTGGTCAGCTCCCAGTTACTGTCTTTTGTCAGTTTCCTCTGGGGAAGCCAGTCAGCCTCAGCCAATGTCTCCTTCGTCCACATATACCCATCTCTCTCCACCCTGTGCCCCATCTGTCACAAAAGAAGAGGCTCAACTGCCAAGTCCCCAGCTCCCCTGGTTTCTCCTCCACTCCCTTCAAATCCCCACATTCCCTCATGCCGCTCACCTTGTACTCATGAACCACTTCTTCCATTGGCACCACGCTGTGCTGTTTTTGGCTCCTGGATTCTCGACACACCACACAGACGGCCTCTTTGTCCACCTCACAGAATAGTTTCAGAGCTTCTTGGTGTTTGGAGCAGATGCCCTGATCATTCCCCTGGCTCCCTCGATTAGGAGTGGGGCACATCTGGCGAATTATCTGGACCATGTTGGCCAGCTGCAAGTTGGGACGAAAGCTGCGACGCGTAAAGCTCTTTTGGCATTGGGGGCAGATGAACTGCCGTGGAGGGGCCGGGGGAGGAGGCAGGTGAGTGTCAGGATACAGCTCTTGGTCGTCCTCATCGTATTCTTCCAATATCTCCTCTTCTGGGTAGACGTCAGTTCTCAGGTCATGTCTCACGCCTCCCAGGTAATAGTCCGTATCCTCCTCTTCTTCCTCCTGGTCCCACACATAATCCACGTTGTCCCAATCCCTTACGCCACCGTCACCGTCCCAGAGTTCATCATCCTCTTGGTCCTGGCACAACTCCTCGTCAGCATTCCCCTGGTATAAAACCTCTCGAATGGAGTTGCCCCATCCACCGATGGCCCCCACCGCCTCGCCGTCCTCCTCCCATTCACCTTCCTCTTCGTCCCTGACTTCCTCATCATCTTCCTTGCCCCACAGCTGCGTCACACTCCCTCGGCAGAAGTTATGCCCGCAGCCGATGGATACGGGATCCTTGGAGTGATCCAGGCAGATGGCACACACCGCTTCCTCCTGAAGGGTCTGCGAGGCGTTGGGAGCAGCGGCATAGCCAGCCATCTTAACGCGCTGCCGGTTGGTATGGATGCGTCCGCTCACAGCTGAGACGCGGGGGACACACCTGCAGGCCTGCCTCCAAGCGACGCTGGTGATCCAAAGCTGTCCCCAACCCTGCTCTGCCTACTCGGGCCCTCAGAGAAGCCTTGCGCCCCTCTCTGACTCTCCCCAGCTTTAAGCGCGAAAGCCCCAGGCCCGAACTCACAGCTGCCCTCGGAAGGCAGCGGGGGCGGAACCAGGCTGCGGCCCCCACCTCCCTTTGAGACTCAGCGTGCAAACTCGGATCCCTTCACGTTTCTCGCCTCCCTCCCGGTTTGCCTGACCTGGCAGCTTCCGCTTCAGAAGCCGGCGCTCCTCACCCCGCCAGAGGTGACCGAAAATGACGCAAGCACGTTAATCCACACTCGGGAGGGGGCGCACTGGGCGGACGGAGGGCCACCTCTCTATGGTTTCCCCCGGAAACCGGAGACGCGACCCCCGGAAACCCCTGCAGCCTATCCAGCTGCCCCAGACAGGAAAGAGGGCCTAGTCAGAATGGGTGGAGGCGGCGAGAGAATCAGTTTAAGCCACTGAGCGCTCTAATCAGCCAGACGCAGAGGGTCCAACAGCCGCTCAGGAAAGCCCGTCCCCAGATGGACCCAAAAGGGTGGGGACTGCGGTGGCTGACCTCTGGTACTCTCGTGCACTTCCGGCCCCTCTACCCAGAGGCCTTTGTGGTAGAGAGGATTCTGTCTGCACTGCTGCAGCGCTCGAGGGCGTGGTCTGTAGCAACCTGGCGGGATCGAGCTCACTGCGCAGTTGGGTGGCGGTGAGATCAAAGAATCTCGCGTGAAGACTTGGGTGCTTCCAACTTTCCTCAGACCAATTCACCCCTTTCTTGCTGCCTGCCCTCAGCAGGCACCAGCTTCGCCTGTGGATCTTTTTACCTCCATTTATAATCCTTCCATTCACCATCCACTCACCATGCATGCATGCATGCATCCACCCACCCAAATAACCATTCATTTTTCATCCATCATAGGCATGCATAACCCATCAATCCATTTATCCATCCATTTTCATCTATCCACGTTATAGGAACAAAAAAATGAGTAAGGCATGATTGTTCCTTCAAGGAGTATAGAGTTATAGGCGAGCGGTCATCCTTCACCCAACGTTCACAAGGTTTATTTTTTTCTTTTTTTAACTTGACCCTCAGTAAGAATTACATTGCACGTACTGATCCAATATAGACTTGCACATATATGACGGAAACAAAATTGGCGGAAATTGTTCTTTTCCTTAGGGCGTTCAAGTCACTCTGATATGTTCTGTTTTACTTCAATAAGATGCTGTTCAACACCCGTTGGAGTGATTGCACCCCTCAATAATTGGTCACTTTGGTTTGAGGAACTCCACCTGCCCTAATGGAAACTTCAACGAGCCCTGGATCCCTTCCTTTCCCTCTCTGGGCCCAAGCTTGGACTCTTAAGTCCCACAGAGCAAGAATGGTAAACGTGCTATTCAACATTGTACACATAGCTCCTCTGTCATAGTGCCGAACATATAGCAGGTACTCCCTACATATCTGCTGAGTAAATAAATGGAACCCAACAAATTGCTACCATCAAGTCCTGCTGGTTTTTATCTCCTCAGATCTAGGTCTTCTCTATCTCTGTTCCTTCCAGCCTACATCTGACCCCATAGCTTCCAAATGGACAAGAAGTTTCCTGAAGGGTCACTTGGCCTCATTTTAAGTCCATCTTTCAGCCACCAGTACCATTCACCTGAGATGAGATTCTGACACTCAGGCCAAGCTGTTGCCTCTATGTCTTTGGGCATGTTGTTCACTCACCTAGAAGGCTCTCACCTCACTGCTTCACTTGGATATAATCCCTAATTAACCTTCAAGCCTCTGCCCAGGCATAGTCTCCTGCAGGAGACTCTTCCCTGAGGCTGGCACCAGTCTGTGTTCACATCCCAACTCTGTCGCTCTCTGTATGACCTTGGATTCGTTTCTTAACATCCCTGTGCTTCAGTCTCCCTATCTGCAACATAAAGATGGTAGTAGCACACACGCCATGGGTTGTTGTGAAGTTGGATTAATTGTAAAACGGTTTGAACAGTGCCCACTGGAGTTTTCTTTTTTTTTTTTTTTTTTTTTTTTTTGTGGGGGGGGGGCCTCTCACTGTTGTGGCCTCTCCCGTTGCGGAGCACGGGCTCCGGACGCGCAGGCTCAGCGGCCATGGCTCACGGGCCCAGCCGCTCCGCGGCATAGGGGATCCTCCCGGACCGGGGCACGAACCCGCGCCCCCTGCATCGGCAGGCGGACTCTCAACCACTGCGCCACCAGGGAAGCCCTTGAGTTATCTTTTTATCCTCATCACCTGCCACTATATTCCTTTCCTGTAGTAGATAAGCCTTAGAAGAAACTCTCCCTTATCTCCTATTCTCTCCCACTTTGAGTAGGGTCAAGTGATTTGAATGCTGAGGGGAAAAATAATATGCCATCTGTCATCCTAGGTTTTTTTTTTTCTTCCTGGCCACAGTGCTCGGGATCTTAGTTCCCTGGCCAGGGATCGAACCCGTGCCCCCTGTAGTAGAAGCTCAGAGTCTTAACCACTGGACCGCCAGGGAATTCCCTGTCATGCTAGTGGTTCTGAGAGCCTTTTGTCTGGAGAGGGAGGGAGTTGAAACCCAGGTCTGACCTGCCTAAGGTGGGACACCTATTGGTGGTGTTTGTTAGAAAACTAGCAAGTAAACTCCCATATACAATCTGGGAACCATCCTGGAGGTCATGACTGACCCTGAGAAGCCACGGGGAAAATGAGCCATGAGGACTGGAACTGAGTTTCAAGACTGGAATACTTCCCCATCTCTGAATGCAGGTTCTCCCCTGCACATGGAAGAGGGTGGGCAAAGAGCTGGCGAGCAGACCAAGGGAAGAGGGGGCTGCTTATAAAAGCAAGTTCCTGCTTGCCCCAGGGAGCAGAGCCCAGGTGGGAAGGAGAGCTGGAGAAAGAGCAAGGGGGAATGGGTGGAAGAAGATGGTGAGAGAAGGCTTGTGGGATCATCCTGAAGGAACTGTTGAGACTTAAAAGGAACATAGAGTGGACACCCATTATCAAGAATACCTAGGTGAATAAAGACCTGTAAAGTTCAATACCTATTTTATCTTCTTTTTCCTCTGAATTACGTCTCCTCAAATCCAAGTGACAGCTGGGAGAGGGGCTTTGTTTAGATTCCCTCCGGCTGTGAGGCTTAGCTGTTATTTATCAGGGTATACGGGAGGCTTGGTTTTAAGCCCTCTTGCAAATTCCGCACCCTCAGCAACGAGGCACACTCTTGTATTCATAGGAAGACTGCTAGCCTTCTCCTGAACTCAGCTGGGAGCTGTGGGCTGTTGGAGTAGACCATTCGGCACACACAGGGCCTCAGGTGCCATTGTCCCAGGGGCACTGGGAAAACAGCTGCGGCGGAGGGTACTCAGGAATGAGGGCTCAGCAATGGTGGTGGCTGCCAGCGCATTTTTCTCGGGACTCTGATTTCAGAAAATGTATCCATGGAAACTTACATCAGCCTTTTCAGGCTGAAGAACCCCAGATGATTAAATTCCAGTTTATGGTGAGGCGGCAGCTACCTGTCGCACAGACACTGGGGACCACTTACCAGAGGTATCAGAGAGGCAGTCAGGCACGGGCTTGGTCACCCAGGGGTTGGCAAATCTGGTCCTCGGTTTCTTTTTGTAAGGCCCAAGAGCAAGGAACAATTTTTAAATTTTAAAGGGGTTGTAAAAATAGAAAACAAAGGTGAATATTAGGACAGAGACTGTATGTGGCCATAAAAGTCCAAAATATCTACTACCTGACAGTTTGCAGGAAAAGTTTACTGACCCCTGTGCTAGGAGGCTGGAACGGAGGACCTCCAGAATGCCTTCTGATGTTACAATTCTGGCTTGTTTCTCCCCTCTGGGTTCAAGACGCGGGCTCGTCCCCAGCACCCTAGCACTCTCTCCTCCCAGTCAGATTCCAGAGGTCCTGGCTGGACAGAGTGAGTATGACCAGTGGGTCAGCCTTGCTTTTCCTTAAACTCAGGCCCAGCTTCTCCTCTGCCCCTGCTGCAGTGCAGATAGCTCTGGCTTCCTGGGTCTCTTCCCTGTCTTGGCTCTGTCACTGTGGAGCAAAGGTGCCTGGAGGGGCAAGGAAGTTAGAGGAGAAAAAAACGACCAGCCCAGGGCTGGGCCTTCCAGTTGGCCTTTGTCGTATGTTCCCATCTGGCCAGGCCCTGGCTCCCTGGATACGTCCTGCATTATTCATCATGGTACTCATGGCAGGGATGGCCAGGTCTCCAGGATTCTGGAAGGCCCTGGGGGAGGGCAGGCATGGCTGGGACAGTGAGGGTAACTGGGGGAGTGAGGCTGCATCGAAGATGGCTTGTAAGAAAGGCTTGCCATTCGGTGAGTTTGGATTCTAATGGCATTCACTGAATACCCATGATTCATTAATGAATTCCTTCATTCATTTGACACATAATCACAAAGCACCAGGCCACACTGAGCAGCCAGAGATTCTGCTCTGAATGTAGTGGCCCCTGAAAAATTGTGGTTTGGGGCAGGACTCCCGAGTGAGTGGTCAGCATGTGAGATTTGTGCAAAGGGGGGTGCGGAGGATATCAGGGTGGCCTGAGGCCTTGAAGTCTGGACTCTACCCACAGGGTGAGCGAGGGGTGGGTCTTCGGGTGGAGATCCCACAATTCTGAGCCCCAGCCAGCCCGGTCTGGCTGACAGAGGGAAGCAGTTCCCAGGAGAGGTCTGTGGCAGTACCCTCAGGACACAAAGTCAGTGCCCTGCTGACAAGTTTCTCACCTGGTAGGGGTGGCTGAGGAAGGAACCCAGGAGAGAGGCCAGCATCCGGGCTGGTCCAGTTGGGCCCATAGCCCCGGACTTCGGTTGAAACCACTGACAAGCTGCTACTAAGCAGAGAAACAAAAATGAGGGAGGAGTAAAGCCTGGGTTAGGGGAAACTGCCATGCTCTCTGGGCCTGTTCATTCCTCTGTGGAATCAGACTCAGGGCCCCTAGGTTCACCTCCTACCTGGTTGGCAGGTGCTAGTTGAAGCACCTGCCTTTGCTTCAGTTTTTGCAGGTGCACCAGACTTAGACCAATCTGTGTTGGGGAGGGGGTGGGAGGTAAGAGAGAGACACACTTGAGAGAGCTCACAGCCTGGACAGGAAGGACTCTAATGTGAGAGGCCTCAAGACCTCAGCAGAGGGGAGTCACATGACGGGGTGGGGTAGTTAGTGAGAGTGTCAAATTATCAGGGGCTCCTAGAGATGCTTTAGGATCCCTTTAGGTCTTAAATCTATTATTTTATTTTTTTATTTTTATATACTTTTTGTTTCTTTCCCCTAAAATGTATTTTATGGTTCCATGGGCAAAACACTGAACTAGCCTCTAAGGGAAAGATGATTAAAACAAAATAAAGTTGAAGTTGCTCAGTTGCCAAGGATCTCATAATCCAGTCATGGAGCAGGCACTTCCTGAACGTCAGGACGGCGGTGCCATTGGCAGCATAAAGGCTGGTAGGTTCTGCCTGGGGTGCGAAGTTGCGGTGAGGGCTGCTTCAGCAAGGAAGGGTTAGGAAGGGGGAGGAAGGGGCCCCAGGCCAGGGTAGGCGTAGCGGCTGTCTCTTCACCTCAGGCACTTCCGTCTACCAGTCCCCTGGTCCCGGAGCTCCAGGACTTCTTGCAGATGTCGTGTTCTGGTGAGAAGGCAGGAGGCCGAGTGGACAGAGGGTGAGGAAAGCCAGCAGGAAAAGGCCGTGAGGTGCAAAAACTAGGGTTTGCCGATGGATATCCAGGACAGATATTGACCGCTCGGCCTTTGCCCCCTGGTAGTTTCTAAACCAAGTAGCCAATGAGGCTAATGGAAGAGCGAAATGACTGTAGCCTTTGGGTGGCAGGTGCCTGGGGCCCTGCTACTGTCCTATAGGGGCTGTTGTGGGACTGTTCCAGTCCATGGCCTCTCTGCCCCTTTTCCTCATCTGGAGGGATGGTCCTATAATCCCGCGGCCCCAGAGGTATTCAGGGTCCTAGACACAGAGAAGCACAGAACTGGACGGGAACTTCCGGCCCATTCTGCCCAGGGCTTGCACTTATAGAAGCCGGACCCTCTATCTAAGGCTCCCTGAATATTCAATGCCCTTGCATCAAAGAAGCCATGCAGGGCTTCCCTGGTGGCGCAGTGGTTGAGAGTCCGCCTGCCGATGCAGGGGACACGGGTTCGTGCCCCGGTCCGGGAAGATCCCACATGCTGCCGAGCAGCTAGGCCCGTGAGCCATGGCCGCTGAGCCTGCGCGTCCAGAGCCTGTGCTCCGCAACGCGAGAGGCCACAACAGTGAAAGGCCCGCGTACCGCAAAAAAAAAAAAAGAAGCCATGCAAGTTGCCAGTCTAAGGTCTACACTTGGCTGGGCAGGACCAAAGCTGAGGAGGTGGGTCTGGGAGGTGTGTAGAGGAGCCTGAAGCCTTGGTGATATGTGTAGGATACAGAAAGGTGACACAGCTGTACCAATTCAGAGAGAATGACTGGCCAGAAGCCTCCTCCAATCTGCTTCTCCCCAAACACACACTCTGCCTCTACCCCTTCCCCAGGGAAGAATGTTTCACTTCTGCTCAGGAGGACCTAAGTGCATCCAGGGCTGAGGGAACCTTGAGGGTCCACCTGGGCACTTGTGCCTCCTATCTGTAGGGGCCAGACCTGCCCTGTTTCCTAACTTGTCTCACCATACAGTCAGACAACTGTAAAAATAAAACATGTTTATTGCTGCAAAACCTTATTAATACAGGTCCATAATCTCTTACCTGAAACCCTTAGGGCCAGATATATTTCAGAATTTAGAATTCTTTGGGCTTTAGAAAGCTACCCAGGTATGGATGCTGAATATTACATAATACTACCAGAGGGGTCTGGGGTGACACCCCATAATCCCCCAGATCAATATTTCTGTGGAAAATTGTGAAAAGGCGCACTAGAGGAATAAACGAGCATGAATAACACTTTTTTGGGGGGGCCACACCACACGACATATGGGATCTTAGTTCCCCGACCAGGGATCCAACCCACGCCCCCTGCAGTGGAAGCACAGAACCTGACTTCACTTTAAGGTTTTTTTTTGTTTGTTTGTTTTTCCTCCCACCTCTCTCCCAGGTCAGTTTTTTTTTTTTTTTTAGTTTTAGTTTAATATTTATTTATTTATTTTTGGCTGCGTTAGGTCTTAGTTGCGGCACATGGGGTCTTTCCTCGTGGCACACAGGCTTCTCTCTAGTTGTGGTGCGCAGGTTCCAGAGCGAGCAGACTCAGTACTTGTGGCGCACAGGCTCTCTAGTTGTGGCACACGGTCTCAGTAGTTGCGGCTCATGGGCTTAGTTGCCCCGCGGCATGTGGGATCTTCGTTGCCCGACCGGGGATCGAGCCTATGTCCCCTGCATTGGAAGGCGGATTCTCAACCACTGGACCACCAGGGAAGTCCCCCAGGTCAGGTTATGACGACAAAGTTAGGAAGAAACTTCTGGCTTTTGGCGGTTTTTTTTTTGGATTTCAGAATTGCGGGTAAGGGATTGCAGACCTGTACTTGCTTGCCTATTTACAGAATAGCACAGTTGTCATTGAGACTTTTGGTGCAGTGGCCAGACTACCTGGCCTCACATCCCAGCTCTGGCATGAACCAGCTGTGGGACCCTGGGCCTCAGTTTCCTCACCTGTAGCACAGGAGTATTAATTATCCCGCACAGGTGCGCTTTGAGGATTAAACAGCTTAGTATACAGTGCAGTGCTTAGAACCCTGCTTAGCATCTGGTTTGCTCAGCATATACGGAACATGACATCATCACTGAGAAGGACAGACATTTAAGACACGTCTTCAGGACAATCGGATAATTACAAGCTCACTGCTGGGGCCCTGCAGGCCACCAGGGCAGGCTGAATCTTTTTCTAGTATTAGTCGTTCACATCCTCAGGCTCGGAGCCTCCCAGGGCTGCAGACACGGAGGTTTCAAAAGTCTCCACGGGAGGCTCTGTCACACCTTGGGGTCAGCTGAAGGGGAGGCAGAGGGTGCCCTGGGAGGGGTCTGGCCTTGTGTCCTTTATGAGCACTCCCTCTCTCTGCCAGGGCTCTGGAGTCCCAGCCCCTTAGCACATCAAATGGCCGTGAGACTGGATTCTTGTTCACAGAGGAGACATGGGGTTTCTGCTCCACTGAAGATGCAAAGGTGAGGCTGGGCCTTCTCCAGACATATCCTTCACAAGCATTTCCACGGGACACAGCGAAAAGGGGTCTTTCCCTTCTTGTAAAAGTAACACGTGCTTATTGTAAAAATTCAAATCATTCAAAAGGACAGGAAATAATGGAAAATATGGCCTGTGTTGTTTCTCATCCTCCAGCTGCCTGGGACCAACGAACAGGCCCCCAGGCACCTGTCTCTCTGAGCTTCTCCTCATATACACAAGGACACCCACACACCACATATACACTCACCCTCACATACACCCTATATCCTCTCACCCTCACACATACACAGCCACACACCCTCACATACACATGTTCCCACCCTTGCCGCCTCCCCTACACCCTCACAGCCCCAACACTCTAATCTTCCCAAAAGCGGATCAGACATACATAAAAGAACACACTTATAAATGAGGCAGGCATTCAGCCATTTCTTCCTGACGCTAGCAGGTGCATGAAGGATGCTGCCCCTGTAACTCTTTGACTATTCTGGTTCTTCCCTGACTGCCCAGACCCTTGGTTTTCACGTTCGGGAAGTGGGAATGAGAATAACATAGCCAAACTCTCATAGGGTGCCTGAGAAGCTCAAGTAGGATTTACACTTAACATGAAACCATTTTGCAAGTTGTCAAGTGTAAAACAATCTGAGGAATTACTACTGCCCTTCTCCCCATCCCCGAAACAGGAAATAATTAGACTTTTAAAAGGACTTCAGGAAGATGGCAAAGCCATCCTAGTGGTACAGACCACTTGTAACAAGACTGATAGGGGTGAGGACGCCTCAGTTTTGGGGTGGGGTGGGCCCTTCACAGTCAGATTTCATACCAGCCAGCCAGTGCCGGGGGCCTTCAGGTCCCCAAACACCCCACAAAACACCTCCTTGATCTGTGACGGTGACCTTCTGTCAGCAGATGAGTGGAGTAGCCCCTGCTCTTGCTGGGCTTTGGGAATTATGGGGGTCCTCTCCACCTGCAGGGAGAAAGGAGGGAGGTGACCCCGGCTCCAGGATGGTGGGATGGGGCAGGAGGCTGAGGCCAGGGAAAGCACCCACCCCATGCCCCGCCCCCATCCTGAATTCCAAGGCATCCCCGCCATGCTTGAGAACACCTGGGACTTCCTCTCCCCAACCGGTCCATCCCACAGTCACCTGGGGCTTGCTCGTAAGATTCCTTATTCCTGGCTGTGGGGAAAGAGAACACAAGAGAGGAGGCGGGTGGTGTGTCCCCACCTTCTCCCTCCCGCTCCCGCTCTGGGCCCTTCCCAAAGTCAGGCCCAGTGGTCTCCCCTGACTGTGGGATCTGCAGGGTCCTCGGGGTGGTATGCAGCTGTGGGGTGGGGACGTTTGGGCTTTTCCACAGGTGGGGGACAGGGGGCAGGACCTCAGCAGTAGTTGCTGCTCCCCAGGAGGGAACAGTTCTAGCTGCAGGGATGGGAGCACAGTATTCTTCCCCATAAGGCTGGACCAGCCAGAGGGCCTACCACTCCTTTGTTTCTTCCCCACCTACCTTGAATGCACTTGGTCAAGGTCACACCACCAACCACCACCAGCAAGACCAGGACGAGGGAGATAACCATGGCAGTAAGTCCAGGATGAGAGGACTCTAAGAAAAGACAGAGAAAAGGGCCCCCCCCACCCCCAGTCCATGGGACTGTCTCCAGGTGCCCTGGGCCCTCCCCAGCCCCTCCTCACCCGCTCCGGGCCAAGCCCCAGCTCCTCACCCCAGGACACAGTGAACGTGTGGTTCAGGCTGGAGTGCTGCACGCGGCAGGTGTACTGGGCCTTTTTCCCCGCCGGCACCCACGCAGCCGCCCACGTCTGATAGGTGCCGTCCCCACTGGGGCGTGTCTCCGCATACTCGGAGTCCAGTTCCTTCTCCCCCAGCCACCAGCTCAGCAAGATGTTGTGTGGATAGAAGCCCAGGGCCCAGCACCTCAGGATGGTGCCGCCATCCTTGGCCGAGTGCTCTGTTATCCGCACTGTGGGTGGCTCTGCAGGGAGAGGGGGAGCGAGGAAGGCTGGTTAGTGCCTGCGCTCTGCCCATCCCTCATGCTTAATCCCGGGCTCCTCCCGCATCCTCCAGGGTGGAGGACAAGGAAATAGGGACAGGGTCTCTCTCCAGGGGAGGCACCCAATTACTGCTGCAAGCAGGGACAACCCATTGCCCACCATTCCAGAGGGGCACTGTCCCGGGAACTTCCATGAGGGGGATATGACTTCCTGCCCCCAACCTCCAAGGAGGGTCCTGGGTGGGGCTGTTGGGCCCTAGACTGACCCTCCCCCTTCTCCCTACAGAGACTCTAGGGTTTTCTCAGAGGCTTGACATACTTCCCCCTGTGACTTCCTGCATACAGGAGGTGCCTAATAAGACTTTGTTAAATGAGGGCAAGAAGGATGATACTTCTCTGACCCTATAATGAGAATGGTTATGACTGTGGGCTCCGGAGCTGGACATCCTGGCCATGAAGCCCAGTCTGACTCTGGTCCACAGCCCTCTGCCAGCGCTCAGGGCCTTCCTTCATCATTCCTTCCGCTCAGAGTTCGAGTTCCAAATGACGTAATTCAGGGTTGATAGTTCATTTTCTGTATCCACTTCCCTGGGCCACGGGATGCCCAAGCATTTGGTCCAACATCTTTCTGGGTGTGTGATGGTGTTTCTGGGTGGTATTAACATTTGAATCAGTGGGCTCAGTAAAGCAGATTGCCTTCTGCAATGTGCGTGAGCCCATTCACTGAGCTGAAGATCTGAACGGGACAAGGAGGCTGAGTAATAGGGAGCTCCTCTAGCCTGACTACTGAGCTGGAACACGGGTCTCTCCTGCCTTGAGACTCAAAAAATGAAACACTGGGCTTCCCTGGTGGCGCAGTGGTTGAGAGTCCGCCTGCCGATGCAGGGGACGTGGGTTCGTGCCCCGGTCCGGGAAGATCCCACATGCCGCGGAGCGGCTGGCCCCGTGAGCCATGGCCGCTGAGCCTGCGCATCCGGAGCCTGAGCTCCGCAACAGGAGAGGCCACGACAGTGAGAGGCCCGCGTACCGCAAAAAAAAAAGGAACACTGACTCTTCTTGGGTCTTGAACTTTCCAGCATTCGGACTGGAACTACACATTGGTTCTCCTGGTTCTCAGGCCTTTGGTCTCAGACTGGAACTGCAACATCAGCTCTTCCTGGGTCTCCAGCTTCCTGACCGCAGATCTTGGAACTTCTCTACCTCCATAGTCATGTGACCCAACTCCTTAGAACACATCTCTTTTTTCCTCTCTCTGTGCATCCTGTGGGTTCTGTTTCTGTGGAGAATCCTGACTAATCTACCAGGTGAAGGACATAGGACAACACCTGGTGCTGAACGAGAGTCCCACACTACTTATTTAACGCACACCAATATGTTTGCTTTGGGGAGGCAGCAGGTATTATTACCATCCTCATGATACTGATGAGGAAACTGAGGCACAGAGAGGGCAAGTAACTTGCCCAAGGTCACACAGCCAGCAAATCCTGGAGCTGAGCTGTGTATCTAGAGGCTAGGCTCCAGTGCCTGAGCCCTGAACCACCACGCTCTGCTCTCATAATCACATCTTCTGCTCCTGATGTTACCTGTCCTGTCCTCCCTTTGAGGAATATCCTCCCCATTACCTCAACTGATTCACATCCCGCTGCTCAATCACCAGACGGTGTGCTGGGTGCTCTGATCAGCCCCACCCCCAGCAGCCTCCCTGACCACCACAGCCGCGAGGCTTTCACCCTCGGCACCCCAAAGCACCCACCTTCCCTAGTGTCCATCCCAGCCCTTGTGTCACCAGCCCTGCTGACTGGGTTCAGGAGAAGTTTGCGATGCACCTGGAGTCTGGGAAGCATATTTAGCATGAGGGGTATGAGGGAGGAGAGGGGCAGAGGGCTTCAGTTTCCCTGGCAGTCCCCAGTGGTCCAGGGAGTGGTGAGGGATGCTATCCCCTGGGGCCTGGGGTCTGTTTCCCAAGGAGCAGAGCCAAAGGATGTTAAACCCCAAAAGGATTTTATGAGCACCTAGTTTAACCCACTCGCTCTGTAGATGAACAAAATGAGGCCCAGAATAAGGGGGTTTATTCTCCAAGACCACACTGGGACAGTGGAGACTCCAGAACTCCCCACTCCACCTCACTTGAAGGCCTGTGGTCTGGGCTTTCTTCCTCCTCTGCAGGAAAAAGCTGTTGGCTAGCTGGCCATCTTTCTGGGTCCCAGTGGGCTTGTCTGAGCCAGGGGGACACTGCCTGCTTCCTCACCACCCCCCCCCCCAAAGGCTTCTCTGTCAAATGGGATGGCTCTCGAGAATGGGAGCATGGGGCCATTCTGCATTGCCACAGGGTGGGCCTTACCTCTCCGGCTGAATCTCTGGCCTCCCAGCTCCAGGTATCTGTGCAGAGAGGCAAGGCAGGGGCCTTCCAGGTAGGCCTTGTCGTACTCTGCGTAGCAGCGCTCTGTCTCCCACCAGTGCTTGGTCCGCATGGCCACGGGCTCAGCTGACACCCAGCTCAGGGTTTCCAGGTCCAGCGACAGGTGGTCCTGCCCATCGTAGCCAAACTGCCAGAAGCCCCTGTAGCGGCCGTCTTCCTGGATCTCACAGCCGAACATGCGCTGAGTGCTGTGCATCCCTGTGTGTGCAGGTAAGAAGGCTTTGGTTAGTGGTGGCCGGGGGTGTCAAGTCCCTGAGAGGCACGGAGAAGCCCACCACCCAGAGGGGCCTCCAAAGGGTGGAGGGACAGGGTGTCAGCATTTAAAAAACAAAAACTAAAACTAAAACTGGGGCTTCCCTGTGGCGCAGTGGTTAAAAATCCGTCTGCCAGTGCAGGGGACACGGGTTCTAACCCTGGTCTGGGAAGATCCCACATGCCACGGAGCAACGAAGCCTGTGCACCACAACTATTGAGCCTGCACTCCAGAGCCCGTGAGCCACAACTACTGAAGCCCGTGCGCCTAGAGCCCGTGCTCTGCAACAAGAGAAGCCACCGCAGTGAGAAGCCCGTGCACCGCAGCGAAGAGTAGCCCCCGCTCGCCGCAACTAGAGAAAGCCCACGCGCAGAACCGAAGACCCAATGCAGCCAAAAATAAATAAATAAAATAAATAAGTTTATCTAAAAAAATCTCCCAAGTAATTTTGATAAGCAGCCTGGGCTGAGAAACCTGCTGGGCCTCTCATGTGGGACGAACACTCAAGTTCATATTTAGACACATCCTTATTTCATATCCCACACTACTTATGGGTGTATAATGTCCTCAGTGCTAAGACTATGTCATGCCATGCTTATCCCGGGGGCCCTGGGCTGGTGCACAGCCCTTCCCAGGCTCAGTCCTTTATATCTACTCTTTCTTTTTTTTTTTGCGATATGCGGGCCTCTCACTGCTGTGGCCTCTCCCGTTGCGGAGCACAGGCTCCGGATGCGCAGGCTCAGCGGCCATGGCTCAAGGGCCCAGCCGCTCCGCGGCATGTGGGATCTTCCCAGACCGGGGCACGAACCCGTGTCCCCTGCATCGGCAGGCGGACTCTCAACCACTGTGCCACCAGGGAAGCCCTATATCTATTCTTTCTGAGGCCTCTGGGGACCCGAGGCTTTTAGTCTGGTCATTTGGGTGTGTCTGGCCACAGAGCAGGAGGGTGTTGTGTGAACGAGCTGTGCTCCATAAGCGCTTTATGGAGAATTAGCAGCAGCCTTGGTGGTAGCTGTAAGCTCGCTGTCGCTGAGATGGGGAAGCTGAGATGGCATCTTGAGGACCTGGGGTGGGCAGGTGTGATTTGAGGGTGGTGCGTGAGGCAGGGAAAAGCCTCTCCCAGAATGCTGAGGTCCAGAACCCTGGGTAGCCGAGGGGAGGGGGGAGATATCATGGGCCCTGTTCTCCTGTGGATGCTTGCTGCACTGGCCTGTGGGGGAAGGAGACTGAGAAGAGCCAAGTATCAGAAGCTTGTCCCACACCCTATGACGGGCATGGCTGCCTCGAGGGTCAGCGTGCAGAGCGTGAAGCACGGGGAGTCCGCCCAACGCACCACTGCTGTGGTTGTGGTAGCCCATCACCGTCCACATCTCCACCTGCTGCACCTCCGCCCATTTCTCCTGCTTCCTGGTCTCCGTCTCCCAGTACTGGGCATCCATTGGCGTCATCCATGGGGCCTGGGACTCAGCCTTGCCCACACGACTGTCAAACCGGATGAAGGGCTGGTCGTCCACGTAGCCTACAGCCAGAAACTTAGGGAGGCTTGGGCCTGGCTCTGATAGGGTCAGGTAGTAGTAGTGGAGCGAGTGTGTCCCTGTGGAAAAACAGACCGGTCTCAGGCTCACATGGACTGCCTGGGTCTGCACTGGGTGGGGGTCGGGGGGGGGGTGGTCAGTGTGCTGGGTAGGGTTGGCAGTGGAAACGTATCCAGAGAATTCGTTATCAGCAAGAACTGGGAATTTCAGTGGAAAATATAAGGGCATCCAAAGAGTTTAAATATAGACAGAATCAGTCAAACACTGAGAACGAAGTTCATGCATTAAGGCTTATGGATTTTCTTCCCAGAAAGTTTCTCAGCTCTTCACTCAGGGCCTACTTACTCATACTTTATACTCATCTCTAATAAGTATGATTGTCTGGTTTCCCATTTCAAATTAAAAAGATTTCTTTTTAAGAGTTGGTTGTTTGGAAGCTTAATGTATGTGGAATTATTCATTGCCCAGACATACCTGGGAAAGGTTGGCCATCATTCTTAGCTTGAATCACTGCCGCCAAGCTGGTGGCATCTTGACTCCATTCCCCACTCCCTCCTGCTCCCACAGCAGACGCTACTAGTCAATCTCTTTTCTCTTTGAGTCCAAATGCTGCCTCTCTACTATGTCTCCAAAAGCGCCAACTCATCAATTAAACGTGGTGCTGGAGATGAAATCTACTTAGCAGCCAGTCCTGACTCAAGCTATTAAAACAAACGCTGTATCTTAAGAAACTCAGGCCACATTTCTCAGAGATATCCCTGGCTTACTCTCTTACCTAATTTTTTAAAAACTTCTTGCTCAGAAGTTTTTATCCCTCAACACTCCTGTCTCTCAACACTCCTGTCTCTGTTATTTTTCTCCATAGCACTACACTTCCTAGAGAATATGCACTTTGTTTGTCTTGTTAATGGTCTGTCTCTCCTCTGCCATGTCAGCTCCCTAAGGGCAGCGATTCCTGTATGGATTGTTCTGTTTCCCCAGCACCTAGATTAGCTTCTGGCACACAGTAGGTGCTCGATGGTTGAACATTCAAGTGAGAAAGGAGAAGTCAAACACATCTCCCCACTCACAGCTCTTTTTTTACTGCCTTCTTGTTATTTCAGGCCACACCAAACTCCGCCCAGGCCCTCTGCACCTGCTGTTTCTTCTGCCCTGGGCACTCCCCTCTCTGTTTTCTCTCAGCCAGTTTCCTCATTCCTCAGGTTGCAGTAAGGTGCCTCCTCCTCCAGGAAGTCCTCCTGATTTCAGCCTGATGTCCCTCAGAGGGGTCTCAATAGTGTCCTGTGCTCCCTGTGAAACTGGGGACTCCATGAGGGTGGGCAATACATCTGACTCTGTCATCGCTGTTTCCCCAGGGCCTAGCAGCACAGCTGGCACACAGTGAGCACTTACTTCTGGCCTTTGTTGAACTGGACAAAAAATAAGAACATGAATCGCAATGACAATAATCACAGCTGCCATTTTTGGAATGACCACTGTGTGCACTGGTTTAACGGCTCCTCACTCACTGTCTCAGTTGATCTTTACAATAAACCTAAGAGGTCAGTGTGGTTGGCCCCATTTTACAGATAAAGGAACCGAGGTCCAGGGGAGGCCACGTATAGCACTCAAAGGCATGCACTAGAAAGAGGGCAGCCCAGATTCTCTCCCCAGGGTTCGCTGCCTTTTTCTATGCTGAGGAAAGAGGTGTTCTCACGGCTGGAGAAACCTCCTCATGGGAGGCAAGAGGGGTCCATGTTAGGAGTGTTTGAGTGAAGGGTTAACATCGGGTCTGGGCTGGTGTGGGCCTCCTGGGAAATGCCTGGAGTCTCTCTCACGGTGCTGTTTGCTTGCACACCATTGAGTTAAGATCAGTGTGGGGTGCTCCTGTGCTGGCAGCTGTGAACAGGCACAAAGGCGTTGGGGAGAACAGAGGCTACGGTTTCTCTGTGTCAAGGTGACCCACCCACTCCTTGGCTCTGATCTGCAGCAGCTCTACCTGCCCTGGAAGTGAGGGAGGGCAAAGATCCTGTGTCTTTGGGTAGCTGCTGGCCTCCTGGGTGGTGAGGAAGCCATGCCAGCTGGGCTTCCTGTCCTGCCTCTGTCTCCACAGCTCAGGAAGCATAGTGTGGTAGGCTGAATAATGGCCCCCCAAGATATCCCTGGAACCTTTGAATGTTACCTTATATGGTAACAGGAGTTTTGCAGATGAAATTAACGATCTTGAGATGGAGAGATTATCCTGGATTGTCTAGGCAGGCCCTAATGTGTCCTTAGAAGAGGGAGGCGGAGGGAGAGTCCATGACGTCAGAGGAGAAGGTGATGTGAAGATGGAGAAGAGAAAGATGCAGGAAGGCACCACGTGCCAAGAAATGCAGCTCTAGAAGCTGGAAGAGGCAAGGAAACAGATTCTCCACTACAGCCTCTTTAGGGAGCTGGCCCTGCCAACACCTTGATTTCAGCCCAGTGAAACCCATTTTGGACTTCTGACCTCCAGAACTGAAATAGAATAAATGTGTAGCTCTTAGCCACCAAGCTGTGGTCATCTGTTACAGCAGCTACAGGAAACAAATAGTATTCGACTGAAGCCCATTAGGTCCTGAGAGTTTGGTGGCCAGTGAGTCCTGGGGCCGGGGGAGGGTAGTGGAGGGGGGAGGGAGAGAGAGAGGGAGGAGAATGCACCATCTGGGAGCAAGGACATCCTCTGAAAGCTGCGCCAAAGACTGAGGGACACAGAAGTAGAGGCCCAGGAACCCTGGTGCTCCCATCACCTAAGCAAAGAGGCCGTGAAGGGGCTGATGTGCTCTTCCCCAGGTGTGGAAAATGCAGGAAAGAGCACGCGATCCTGAGGTCAGGCCTGATGGGAAAGGGAGCAACACACACCTGGTCGTTCTGTTAGGGCAGGTGCACGACCTTGCTTACTATGTAATGTTACTATTTATTAATGTTAACTGCTTTAGTGGCCAGTTATTTTTGGTTAAAATGAAGGGAAGTCGATCAATATATATACATATATTTTAAAATTTACGAAACACTTTTAAAGCACTTAGGGGCTGGCCCTGTCCTGAGCACTTTATAAGATGTTGGCCAGGTCACCCTCATAACAACTTTATCAGGAGGGTACTATTGTACCTATCTATGACATATGGGGAAACTGAGCCACAGGGAGGCAAAGCCACCTGCAAAGCTCACACCAGTAGTGAAAGGCAGGAACAGATTGTGCACCCAGATTCTCAAGGTGATCCTTGGCTTGCACCCGCCCTTTAGTGAACCCACTTCTGGGTGACACTGAGTGGCTGGGGACACATGAGAAGGCCCCTCCCCATGGCATCTCTCCACTCTCTGCCCTCCCAAGACACCATCCTGGCTGCAATTTAAGATGGCTCAGCTCTGCTCATCCTGGCAGCCTAGATCATATGGCCCAGTAGGGCCCACCCTGCCGCCCCACTCAGCAAGTACTTTCTGAGCACCTACCGTTTGGCTATCTCCGAGGCCTTGGGGAGGCTGGGATAACCCAAAGAGCCCCAAGTGCCTGCTGTCAGGAAGCTTACATGAATGTAGGATAAGCAAGATAAAGGAGTAAAAGGTATGGTAGGCTGGATAGTGATAAGTGCTGAGGGAAAAAAATAAAGCAGAGACATACAAAATGTCAGGGGAGGAGTTGAAAATTTTAGATCGAATGGGCAGGGAAGGCCTTCCCAGAAAGGAAACTATTAAAGAACTCAAGGAACCAGCATGTAAAGATCTGGGAGACAGAATTCCAGGTCTGCAGAGGGGAAAGTCAGTGCAAAGGTCCTGAGGCAGGGGCATGCTTGGGGTGTTCTGAGGCTGCTGCAAGAATGCAGGGGAAAAATAAAATGGTGGTGTGATTCAGTGTAGTAGGTGAAAGAAGGGGCTGAATTCTGAATCCTTCCCAGGCTTGTCCAGATGGTGTCTGGAATGGCCTGGATATAGCCCTCTGGCCTAGCCCTCCCTGACACGAGGGCTCTGGTTCCTGGCATCTGCTCTGCCCTGGACTGCTTCACCATGGCCTACATCCTGGCATCTGGTACCCATCCTGAGAGTCAAGGACCTGCTTTTAGGGCAAGTTCGTGATTGTGACCCCCTCAGCTGACTTCCAGGTACCGCCTCCCATGTATCCAGGGAGGGGCCTGCCATCCCTTCCTCTCTGAAAATCCCACTGCTCTCTGCTCTGCCTGCCAGATGGTCTTGAGAGCCCAGCCGGCTCTCTGCAGGGGCTCACACCCTGCCCATTCCCATCTTTTCCCCAGGAGGACCGTCTCAGCTGGGACTACATTCCCACTTGCTAACTGGGCTCAGGAGGGATCATCATGACTTGGGCTGCAGCCCAGAGTGTGGCAAAAGAAGCCGAAGGAGGCCATCTCCTGGCTTTGGAGGTGATACCACCTGCCAGGCTGGGGGGTCAGTGCCACGCACTGTGGGACCATGGCAGGAGGAAGTGGGGGACACACAGCAGGCATCCAGGGGGATCTGCTCCCGCTGTGACATGGCCTAAGGAAGTGGCTACATGCCCATCGTTGCTTCAGGGCCTGTTTGTATCATCAGCTCCCCACCCCCGACCCCCTCCACTGCCACTTCCGGGTCACTGGGCCATGTGGCCAGCCCCCAACAAGGAGCAGTCCTGCACCCGCTTTGGCCCAGCCTTTTACCTTCTCCTCTGACTGTGGTGAAGGAGGGAGAAGGCCAGCCCCTTTCCCACTCTGCCCAGGAGACTTTTGTGCATCTGCCTCACTTCCCCCACAATCCACGCAGCACTGCCAGTTCCTAGCTGCGTGGCCTTGAGGAAGTTATTTCACAGCTCCAAGCCTTGGTGTCCTCATCTGTAAGTGGATGCAATTAACTGACCTGCTCCAGGGTGCTAGAGCATTCGGTGAGATAATGAAAATAAGGAAGAAGTACAGGCATGGAGACCTCATCTTCTTAGTCTTAGAGCTTTCCTATTCTGAAGGGAGAGGTGGCCGTGGGAAGAAGAGAGCTGGAGTCGGGGGTGGGGAAAGATGACTGAGTGAGGGGCCAGCTCACTGGAGGTCAGGTCTCATCCCCTGGGACACCCTCCAAAGGCTCTGGCCTCTGTGTCCTCTACCCTGGCAGAGTTCCCCCACCCCAAGACAGTCCACCAGATTCCCAGACTGTGCACACGGCCTCCTGCAGACTGGGGGCTCCTGGCCTCCACCATCCTACTCCTTGTTCAGCAGATAGGCACGATCTTACTTGTAGGCCATGGCTTCTTTTCCAACTTCAGGTGTCCCAGTTCTGCCATCACCACCTTTGCCCTGGCCGCCGGGCTATCGGCCACCAAGGGCAGCCCCCAGGGACTCTCTGCAAGGGAGACATGGAAAAGGGAAGTATGAATCTCAAGGCATAAACATCCTACGTATCCTTATGTTTGCTGGGAGAGACAGCACGGAGTGACAATGAGAGGCACGTTGAACGGGAAGGAGTGGCTGGAAGCTCCCCCCAGCACCCAGGCACAAAGCCAGCGGGGCTGAGGTCTGGGCCTTGGTGCCAGGTGTGGTTCCTGAGCTTTCCAAGTATTGATTCGTGGTGTTTTCCCTGCATTCCTGTAAGGCAGGTCTTGATTGTTCCCACTTAGAGAGGAGGGAAACCAGGACTGGGCTTTGCTAGAGGTTCTCCATCCGGCTGCCCAACGCTGCTTTGACTATCCTGCCATTGATATGGATTTAGTGGATTTGGGGGTAAGGGAGGGCTGCACACTTGCGGGCGTTGAAAACTCCCAGGTGATTCTCATGTGCTGCCCAGGTACTCCTGGCTCTACCTGGCTCTGCCCTGCCCACCTGCTCAGCTGTGCCAGCCCTGACCTCTCTCCGCTTGCAATATTACTCATTTGACAAACAACTATTGAGCACCTACTACAAGCCAGGCACTGAGCCAGGTGGGGGTGTGTGTGGGGACAGAGAGACAGACATAGCCCCCAGGGAGCTCAGGTCTGGCAGGGAAGGGGACAACTGAGCAATTACACAAGCAGATCCAGTAAGGCCAGTGGGGGCTGACAAGTGTCGGGGAGCAGAAGTACCAGGTGCCGGGGGCATCCTGGGGCAGAAGGGTGCTGAGGTCAGGGGTCTTGTAGGCTGAAACCTGGAGGAGACCTCACCAGTGTGAGTTACCAGGCAGTAGGGTGGGTGAGGAGGGAAGGAAATTTTGGGCTCGTGTGAGTCTAGTGTAGTTTCAGAACTTGCTGCATCAGCCTCACCTGGGGAAATGCAAATTCTTGGGCCCCAGCCCTACTGAGTCAGAAGCTCTGGGGGTGGGTCCTAGCTTTCTGTAGTTCAGCAAGCCCTCTGGGTGATTCTAAGGTTTAAGAACTGCTCTAGGCAAAAGCACTAGCACATGGGAATGCCTGGAATGAAAAAGAGTGTGGTGTGTTCAGGAAAACCAAGGTCAAAGGATGACTACAAATGCAAGAGATGAGTCTGGGGAGGAAAAAAAAAAAGGGCTAGATTGCCTCTTCGTGCCTCAGTTTCTCCTTGAGGCCAAATTGGGTCAGGTCCTATGGGCTGGAGTTCAAGGGCAAGGTCTGGGCCAGAGAAAGGGTGTGGCTGCGGACAGCAGGGAGGGGACCCTGAATCCCTGGCTTAGATGAACCTGAGATGGAGTGCAGGAAGGGGGAGGCAGAGTAACAAGGGCACGCAGAGTCACATGAGGAGGAGGGTGGAAAAGGGAAGAGGGAGACCAGAAGCAGTCTCAGTGGTCATGGCCCTTGAAGTTCTATAGGGCTCGCCTCTGCAGTCCCGCCCCTAGCCTGCCCTTGATGCTGCTCCTGTCTCGGTGCCCCCTGGTTGCCCAGGCCAGATACCCAGGAGTACGGCCCTTACCCTGCTCTCACCCCCACTCCCCAGGCCCTAATTCCAGCTTTGCTGTAGTAACCAGCTTTGTAATCATTTATCTCTACTTAATCTGTCTCTCACAGTTTTGATCCCAAGGGCCACAGATTAGTTCTGCCATCTCCTCTCACCGGGCCAGGACTCCCTGCCTCAGCTTTTGCCTGAGGCAGCATGGGCTCCAGAGCCAGCCTGGAACCCAAATCCTAACGTGCCGTGAGACTCTGTGAGACCCTGGGTAGCCAGTTAACCTCTCTGAGCCTCAGTGTCCCTATCTTTACCATGGGGATAATAATTGAATCCTTGTCATAGGGTGCTGCTATGAGGCTTAGAACTCCCTGCTGCATGACTCATGACATCTGCCCCTTGAAATCCACTTCTTCATTCTCCACCTCCTGCAGGGAAAGCCTGGCACCCAGGAGTGTTTGAGGGGGCTTGCTGGAGATGCCTAGCTACCTCCCTGCCATGTGCCATCTCTTTCCTACAGTTTGGCATGCACCAGGGTCACCCTCCATTCCTTCCCTCCTCCTTGGCTTAGAGACCTGTCCCCCTGGGCCAGCCTTGACCATTCCCCTCACAAGGCTACAGGGTCTATGCACACACACCCATGACCATCCCTGCCATGCAGAACTGGAATCGCCTATGCGCCCCTGTATCACCCCTGGGGGGAGCTGTAAGAAGGATCCTCAGGGGCTGTGTGAACCTGAGAACAGGACTGGTTAGTCTTGGCCGAGAGACACAGTGTAACCAGTCCTGGTTTTCAGGTTCACAGCCCCACTCCCCTGGGGTCCCTGTTCCAGGGACACTGGCCAAACTCGTCCCCATCCCTGGCGCCATTCTCTCCACTGATCTCCTGCCCAGACATCCAGGGTGATTCTCCTTCAAGTGTTTCCCATGGGGAGCTGAGGGCTGAATCCTCCTGGAGATGCATCCTATCGCATTCAGGAGCCTCAACTTGGAGGGAAAAAATAACCTCTTTATTTTCACTAACCTCTAGCTGAAGTTTGGCCTTTCTCCCATGCTGAATGGAGGCAACAGAGCTCAGCAGGATTTGCAGAACCTGTGCTTTGGTCTCTGATAGAAGCCACAGATGTTTTCGAATCACGTGACCGTTGTTGCAGACACCTGGAAATATGCTTTACCCTCACTACTTCCAAATTCTGGGAATTGTTGCTATCTAATGCATTCTTTAATGTGCTAACTTAGAAGCACATATATTACATATCACAAACTTATATTTCTATTTAAATTTTTAGTAGCTTTATAAAAACATAATTGGGTTCCTTTGGAATCCTATGTATTTCATTTTTTGTGTTAAAAACATTCTGAGACAGGGTCCAAGCACAAAAAAGCTAAGAACTCCGACTCTGGGTCCCAGTGCTGCCACCTAGCGCCCGCTCTGGGCCCTATTTTAAATCTGTAAATTGTAAATTTTGTATGTTCTAAGAGCCGAAATGGCTTCTTGGACATGAAGCCCTTGGAACAGAGCCTGGAATAAAGGACATCAGCTATTATTACTGCCATGATGGTGGACACTTCCCGCCTGTGCTAATAAACTTTCGGGCATCTGTGCGGTCAGGGTGGGCGGTGCTCGGTGGGAGAGGTCGGGAATCCCGGGGGAGGTCCGGCCCTGCAGTTCTGCGCGCAGAACGGAAATGGCTAAAGGATGGAAATTCCCCGCTAGGTCAGAAAAATCCTTGTTGCTCCGCATCACCCGCCACCTCAACAAGGGGTTGCCCGGGCAACCCGAGAGAACCTCGCCAAGGAGCCAGGGAGACCTATAGCGATGGGCAGGTGCCTCGCCGAGCTAGCAGGCAGAGGCTGTGCAGGCGGCGCTCAGGTTCCTGCCTCCACGGAGCTTCCCCAGGGCCTTCCTGGAGGACCCAGCCCTGGGAGCTGAGCGCGAGCGGCGTCCTCCAGAGAGGCCAAGGGACCCCCAGGAAGCTGTGGCGTCGGCTGGGTCCCCCGGGGTCCCCACCCTCCTGACCGCTCAGTCCGATCAGGGGTCTGAAATGGGAGGCGGCAAAACAGGGGCCCTGCCTAGCCCGGGGCTCAGCGACCCCTGCGATCTTGGATCAGCTCTCCAATTCACCATCCGGCCCCCTCCCCCAAACCCAGAATAGCTTCCGCGTTCTTGGTGGATCTCTCCTTAGCACCGCCACAGGCGCGAGGCTGGGGGACGATTGGGGGTCCGCCCCGGCTCCCACACCTCTCCGCTCGGTTACCTGCTGCGCCCTCCCGCACCAGTCCCGACAGCAGCAGTAGCAGCAGCAGCGGTGGTGGCGGCGGCGACCGCCGGTCCCGCGCACTCCCGGGACTCTGCGGCCGCCTGATCGGCAGCCTCACGCGCTGCCCCAGGGTGCCGGTCCCGGTGGAGTCCGTCTTCAGCTGTGGGGCAGGGGCCTCGTGCCAACGCCGGCCGCCGGCCGACAGTAGGACGCGTCCCTCGCCGGGGTCTGGGCGGGAGAGCGCTCAGTGTCCCCAGGGCCGCGGCAGCTGCGACCCCGCCCTGGCTCAGGTTCAGGCTCCGGCCGGGCTCTGGCTGTGGCTCCACCGCACGCACCCTGGGGCCCGCCCGCAGGTCCTTGATGGCGCCCTCTGGTGGGCTCGGGAAAAGAAAACATGAAAAAACCCCAATTGTTTGCGGTAATTGACAGCACATATGCTTCTCTGCTGCCTCACGAAACGAGACCACGAGACCAGGCAGTGAAGCTCAAGTTACAGCCATTTGGAAAGTCGGGCGGTGTCTGAGACAACTGTCATGTGATTCGAAAACACCTGTGGTTTCTGTTGGGACCGAGGCAACGGTCCTAACACCACTGAGCTTTGCTACCTCTACTCATCACGGGATGAATGGCTAAATTTCAGCTAGAAGTTAGTGAAAATAAAGGTTATTTTCCCCATCTGGGTTCACAGACCCCCCTGAATTCTGACCAGGGATTCCCATGTTCAGGATAATAGTTTTCAGCTGGGCCTTTTCTGATATTTGAAAATTCATAGGAAGAGCTTTGGTGATCCTGATTGGGGCGAGTGAGGGGAGCAATTTACACAACAGAGGGAAAGCCCAGAAGTACAGCTTTGCGCTGTCTTGGGGCCACCACACACATGGTGTCCTGCCAGGCCAACAGGAGAGAAGCCGGATTGTAGCGATCTGAGTCTAGAGCACAACGTTTGTTGAGTTTTAATATTGTCAAAAGAACACAAGGAGGGGAAAGAATAGAGGAAGTTGGGCATCAGAAAAATCTAGTTAATCGAGGGACTTCCCTGGTGGCACAGTGGTGAAGAATTTGCCTGCCAATGCAGGGAACACGGGTTTGAGCCCTGGTCCAGGAAGATCCCACATGCCGCGGAGTAACTAAGCCCGTGCGCCACAACTACTGAGCCTGTGAGCCACAACTACTGAGCCCACGTGTCACAACTACTGAAGCCCGGGCACCTAGAGCCCGTGCTCTGCAACAAGACAATGCAATAAGCCCATGCACTGCAATGAAGAGTAGCCCCCGCTTGCCACAACTAGAGAAAGCCCGCACACAGCAACAAAGACCCAATGCAGCCAAAAATAAATAAATAAAAATAAATAAATTTATGAGAAAAAAATTCTCACCCTTCACAACCTTTGGGTAAGCTTCATCTACCAATAAAGTCTTCACTGCTCTGGCCTGAGAGCTTTGAGGGGAGGAAGGAGGAAGGAAGATGGTAAACAGGGCTCCTTCTGTGGGGGAGTGCTGGCTACCATCACCTAAGAGCAGGAAGGAACCACAAAGTTCTCTGAGCTGGAGCCCTTGCCCTCTCTCACACTTCCCCCACCTTCCAAGGTCTGCTTAGCTCACCTTCAGAGAAAGACAAGGCAAGAGAAGAAATACTAAAAGTTGTCCAGGTCCACAGTCAGGAAGGACACTGGGGCGTGTGTGGTGTGGAAGGAGAGAGGAGTTGAAGTGGATGAGGGCTCCTGGCCAGTGAGGATGTGAAGCTAAAGTGACCATGGTCCTGGCAACCTTATCCTGAGAAACCTGCCTTATGGCAGCAAACCCAAGAAGAGGGTGTTAATGGAGGGGAAGAGAGAGCTACAGGGAGGATGCGGGGTGCTGGAGCTTCCTTCCAGAGAGTCTTTCCATCCACACCTTGGACCAGGAGGAGCCACACGGGGTACCCAGCTTTGATCAAAGGTACCCAGCCTTTGATCCCTTCCAGGATGAGAGGGTGTTTTCCCTGTCCCTGTCCCCGCCCCGGTTTCTGGGGGCAAACCCCGAGCAGCGAATACTTGCACCCCAGGACTTCTGTTCTGGGAACCCAGAGCACCTGGGTTTTCACACTCACCAGCACCCTCCCCTTAGAGCCCCAGATTTCTGTGAGTTGAGGACCCCCTTTACATCTGCTTGAAATGCCTCACCCGGGTAGCCTCTACTGCTGGTAAAATGACTCTTCTATACATCTGATCTTTGAAGTTCCGGAAATTCACTAACCACAGAGGTAAACTGTAATCTACCGAGAGTTTAGCAAAGAGTTTTGCTTAGAAGATGTTAAAAAAAGACAAGGAAATGAAGGAAGGCTGATTAGCTGAGATGACACACATTTGAGAGTGCAGGTGCACAGCAGGTGTTCCATCATGTTTGGAGCTGTTTTTTGTTTTGTTTTGCTTGTTTATTTTAAATTGGGGTATAGTTGCTTTACAATGTTGTGTTAGCTTCTGTTGTACAACAAAGTGAATCAGCTATATGTATACATATATCCCCTCCCTGTTGGACCTCCCTCCCACCCCCCCTTACTAGTCCCAGGACAAGACCTGAGTTAAGGCTGCTCTATGCCACCTGCCTCCAGCAACAGGATGGGAAATGGAGGAGGGTCTGGGACTCACATCGGAGGAGGCAGGTTGAGAGAGGCAGCATGGAGCCCAGCTGGGTTAGCAAAATGCACCATGTTTCTGTTCTTCCAGTCAAGGAGGCATTTTGTAAACAGAAGCATCTTGTCCATAAGTGAGACAAGGGGGTGCGTTTGCACCTCCAGGGCAGGTCCTGGCAGCATCTCTCAGCTTGCTCTCCAATCCATTGAGTTCTGGTCACCCAGAGCCACAGCCTCATTTTGAAAGGAGACACAAGAGAAAGACAGTTCCTCACAGCCTCTCTTGTACACTCACACTGGCACTCAGGTAAACTCAGGTGAGTGCCTGTACACTCGAGGGGGAGGAAGATGCCCCCAGAGAGCCCCTGTGTCCTGCTACATCCATTGACAATAATGATGTCACTTTACCTGTGAACGGTGTTTCGCACCTTACTGAACACTTTCGAAATTTCATGTGGTCCTTGTACCAGTGTGGAGGTGCATGCAATTTACCCCCGTTTTCCAAGTGAAGAGATAAAGATGTAGACAGGTGCTGCTAGATGTGGAATCAAGACTCATGTGCCATGTGCACTTGCTCAACGTTAATTTCAAAATTAATTAATTTTCAGCCCTCTCTGTAGGAGGACAGCCTCTGTCCAGGAGATGGTAAAGCCCCAGGGTAGGCACTGGGATGTTCTTAGCCTAGTAGCCCCAGAAGACAGGCACGGGGTAGTGCTTCCGCCTTTGCTGAATGAGGTGTTGATACTGTGGATGCATAGTCTCTAATCACGGGAGAAGCAGTAGGCAGCACAGCTTGGCCATCAGCTCTACTGGGCACCGCTTAAACACTGATGGTCCCAAACCCTGCTGTTATACCTGGTGGGACCGTGGACACGGTGAGCTGCTGGGATGAGAGGCTGGAGGGACAGGTACCTGTCTGACCCACGGGCTTGCTCTGGTCCTTTAGGAACCTCTTCAGGAGGTAGACACACTCATGCCCCAGACCAGACTTCCTTTGCTTTTCAATGGCCACACTGCCTCCCAGTTGCACTTGGTGTTGAGGGTGACATGATGGCAGCCATCAGTCTCCAAGTGATGTAATTCCTCCACATCAGAGCAAACTGACAAAACCCTTGGACGCTGCCATCAGCCGGGACCTTGAATCTGGCCATGAGCTGGAGAATGTGAACCCTGGAAGGCCCCAGCCTCATCAAGGGTGCTCTGGGGTGGGAGGTGGGGGGCAGGTGAGAACCCAGGGGGCAGGTGAGAACCCAGGGGTCACGCAGGCTGCCTCACACACTGGTTTTCTGCTCAAAGCCTGAGGACCCTTTCAGGTACCAACGAACTTATTTACAACTCAGTAATAGAGGCATGATGTAGAAAACAAACTTATGGTTACCAGGGGATAAGGGGTGGGGGAGGGATAAATTGGGAGATTGGGACTGGCATATATACACTACTATATATAAAATAGGTAACTAATAAAACCCTGCTGTATAGCACAGGGAATTCCACTCAATACTCTGTAATGGCCTATATGGGAAAAGAATCTGGAAAAAAAAAAGAGTGGATATATGTATATGTATAACTGATTCACTTTGCTGTACACTTGAAACTAACACAACATTGTAAATCAACTATACTCCAATAAAGATTAAAAAAACAAAAATAATGATGCATATTCAAACACATTGTCACTATTAAAATTTTATTATTGAGAATATTTACTATTTGAAAAGGTTTTGTGTATATTTAATATGCAAAATAAATGTTAAAGTGTAAAAAAAAATGCCTGAGGAACTTTTCAAAACGTGCATTTTGTATTTGTGCTTTTCGGGGACATTGAACGTGGATGACTGGAAGCCCTCTGAGTCTGTTTTATGATCCTCCCCTCTACACAGTGCTTTTAGGTGAATTGCCCATTTTTCAGGGCTGCTTCCCCCACCCCAACCTTGACAGCCTATCCCTCCCCAGGTACTGGCACTGGCCAGCCAAGCAGGGGCCGCATTGCTGCCCCTGGACCTGCTGGGTGAGGTGAGAGGCCCTGGACCTCAGGCCTGGGGTCTCTGCAGAGGGATGCTGTGCTGTCTCGTGAATCACTCACCTGGGTTGTCACTGAGGTAGCCCATCATGGCATGCAGGTAGTCCTGGAACAAGCACTGCCAGCCCAGCACCCAGGTCAATTCTACTCCCAGGAGGCTCCCTCCTGTCTCGGAACCATGGCATCAAGGACTCCACGTTCTGATGCTCAGTGTCACACTAGGCGACCATCCGGTCCTCCAGGCACATGAAGGCAACGTACCCAGGTATGCTGGGCTGAGCCTCTGATGCCACATGTGCAAGAACAACAGGGAGTGGAACACTGGGAAGGGCAGAGGGTCCCATCTCTAGGTCACAAGTCACCTGAGCGGTTCTGACATCACTGGTTCAAGCCCTTTGCGTGATCCCCACTTTAGAGATGAGGACACAGAGGTACAGAGAGGTTAGGCCCCTGCTCATGATCTCAGAGCTGGGAAGCAGTAGTGCTGGGTTAGAAGCCAGGCCATGAGGTTTCAGAGCACACAGAGGATCCCTGCAAACCTGGAGGGAAACCGCAGTGATTTTGCCACCACACTCCCACCCCTCAAGGACTCAGAAGCCCTGGGGTCCAGCCCTGGGTTGGTCCTTGCTAACTGTGTAACTTGGACAACAGTCTCTGAAATACTAAATCTCTTTTCTTTTTGAGGCAGGTGGGTGGGCAGTGACTTGGGTGAAGGGCTGGTTGGGGACCGGAAGACGTGGGTATACACAGAGCTGCACAATGGGAGATGTGTCACCAGCAGCAGAGCTGGGCTCTGGGGCTTCCCCAGGAACTAGGAGTCCTGGGGAATCACACGGGACTCCATATCCCTCTACATCTTGCTGCACCTAAAATCCGGTAAGAAGGAAAGCAGACAGGGAGGGGAACAGAAACCACACTGGGAGGGTTTGGACAAGGGGAAGCAGAGGACAGGGGTCTATCCAGGTTCCTTCCTCTAGAGGTGGTCCCTTCTCGGAGGCCACCATCTACTCTTGAACTGATTTCAGCTGCTCAATCCTCCACCTCCCAGTGTGCGCAGTGCTGTCAACCCTCAGGAGGTGACGAAAAAGGGGTAGCCCGGGAAACCTAACTGAGGTGAGTTATACTTGGGAGGAGAAGCAGGGTCAGGGAATAGCCAGGCTCCTTTAGAAATGCATTCTAGGGACAGATCTGTTGCAGGAAGGGGGACCCCCTTCCAGGGCCCAAGAGTGGGCTCTTGTCTAACACTCGGAAATGAATTACCTGAGGAGACACAGGTACTGACAAAGCAAAAGACTTTATTGGGAAGTGGCACCTGGGTTGAGAGCAGCAGGGTAAGGGAACCCAGGAGAGCTGCTCTGCCACGTGGCTTACAGTCTTGGGTTGTATGGTAATGAGGTTAGGTTTTGGGTTGTCTCTGGACAATCATCTTGCTTGGCCCATATTTGGTTTGACTCAGGGTCCTTCCTGGTGGCACACATCTCTCAGTCAAGATGGATTCCAGTGAGGAGGATTCTGGGAGGTCGGTAGGACACAGGGACTGGTGTCTCCTCCCTCCTTTCGGCCGCTCCCAGATTCTTCTGGCTAGTTTTCAGTGGTAGCACGGCATTCATTATCGGGACCTCTTGTTGCGAGACAACTCATGCAAGCGGTTATCACTGTTCCTGGCCAAGGAGGGAGGTTTCAGTCAACGGTTCTGTAACAGATCCATCAACACTGGGAAAGAGTCTTTTCCCCACAGGGGGTGTCCTGGAGACCTAGGAACAGGTGTTGACAGAGTGGTGGGATTTTGGAGAGAGCCCCGGAGACTAGTTACTGGCCAGAGGAGGTTGGAGCCCAGGATGGAGTAAGGGAGGCACTACTCTGGTTTACAAAAGACCTCTTTTCTCCACTGGGCCTTCCTGGATCCTCTGTCATGTCTTCCAGCTGGTGCTGTAAGTGAGGCAAAAGCAGGAACAGCATCACCCTCCTTGCCTGTGTTGTTAAGAAGTTGCTTCTAGCTGGTTTCTGCTTTGAGCTGTAGATGCAACAGGGGTAGCAGCTGGTGTAGGGAATGCAGCAAGTGTGTAAGCAAGAGTTTTCTAAGAGTTAGAGCAGGCAGATTGCTAGATATGAGCAGAGAAAAGGGGGGTCATGGGCCAGGTGGCAGGAAACCATACATCTTGTGGTGACAGGGGTCCTAGAGGCAGACAAAGAAAGGTGGCAAAGGTGGGAATCTCTGGGGGTCAGAATGTAACCTTTTGCTCATTATGCCCTCATTACAGTAAAATTAGCCTTGCAGATAAGAAGTTCCCTTCATGCACTGAAACCATGACACTTCTGATCAAGACCAAATAAGAACTAAAATCCCTCCTCCACTTGGGAAGGTGGAGCTGGGATGAAAATCAGGAAGTATCAATACAATAAACCCCCTCCCCTCCTCAATGAATATTCTGCCCAAACATTTTTACACATCATAGAACCAGTTTGCCGAAGGAATTCAGGGCAGCTATTCACATGAGCCTGCCTGCTCTCCCTTCTGAGAGCGTAGGATTCTTACCGAAACGCAAGTCCGTGTGCCCGACGCAAGTCCGTGTGCCCGACTCATGGTGAGGCCAAACAATCCCAAAACACCAGAGTTTGGAACAGAGAAAGGTTTATTGCAGGGCCATGCAAGGAGATGGGTGGCTCATTCCTGAAAAACCCCAAACTCCCCGAAAGCGTTCAGCAAAGCACTTTTATAGGAAAGGTGAGGGAGAGGTGTGGTTAGTTGTTGCAAGCTTCTTGGTGTTGGCTCCTTTGTTCTTTTTTTTTGTGTGTGTGTGGTACGCGGGCCTCTCACTGTTGTGGTCTCTCCCGTTGCGGAGCACAGGCTCCGGACGCGCAGGCTTAGCGGCCATGGCTCACGGGCCCAGCCGCTCCGCAGCATGTGGGATCTTCCCGGACCGGGGCACGAACCCGTGTCCCCTGCATCGGCAGGCGGACTCTCAACCACAGCGCCACCAGGGAAGCCCAGCTCCTTTGTTCTTAAGGTCAGGTTATGGTCAGGTAAGGATGTTCCTGTAAATCTCCACCAAACAAATGTTGCTTTCTGTTCTGACGGGAAAGGGCAAGGTCCCAAGGCACAACTCTCATCCTCCGAGATCCAGGCGTGGCTAAGAGAAGGAGGTCCCTGCGGGGGGCAGGGGCAGTGGTTACCCTGCCCCAGAGAATTTGCCCAGCACCCAGTCTGGGTCTTCCCACCATCACCCAGGCCTGGCTGGAGAGGCAGATCTCAGTTGGAGGCTCCCTCAGGGCCAGGTCCCCAGACCCTGCCCAGCTGTCATCACTGAGCGAGCCAGGTGTCCAGGACCCAACTGGCCCTCAGGCTCCTCAGGCCACCCAAACAGTGCCAGGTCCCTCAGACTGTGTCCCATGCAAACTGTCACTGCCATTAGGTCACAGAGACATGGATGGAGGAGAGGTTCACCGCCGCCTCAGGGCCTCGGCCCAGGCAGTGGACAGTCTTGGCAGGGGCTCTGGAGGCCTGCAGGACACACCCACAGCCTGTTCTCTGGGCCCTCCAGCTCACTGGGCCGGCTGGAGGCTGGGTGAGCTGGAGGGCCCTGGGGAAGAAGGTTGGGATCTGCCTCTTACCTCACTCTCCACCTGACTACCAACCACTCCCCAGACCATTTGCTCAATGCCCCTCTAACAGTCGCTCATTGACAATTGCTCACTTGGGGGCGGAGCCCACTGCAGCGCTGACCAATGGCTGAATGGTGCTGACCAATGGCTGAGCAGGACCTCTAATACTGCTCTAACCATCGGCCATTAGTCTCCCAGTAACCGTTGCCTGGTAACGGGGTAGGGGGGTGGGTAACAGCATGCAGCAATGGCTGTGCACTGCAGCGCTCTATTACACCTTCACTTAATAAATCCTCACTTTGCTTTCTTGGCCTCCATGTCTTGCCTCTGAATTCTTTCTGCGATGAGACAAGAACCTACTCTCTGCTAATATAAGTGGCACAATGTTACATACACAAACACAAGGTCGGATTTACCATCCTCTAGTTCAGCTTTATTGCTACTGGTAGAGGGGATCCTGGGGAATGTGGGTGACTGCAGTAATAACTGTAAGAGCAACTGCCTGAGATGACAGTTGTGACTGCAAGGACTATTTTACTACTTTAATACACTGTGTATGGGAATTGCTTTAGCTAATGAGGACAGAGACTGAGACTGAAATCCTTCCCAGAGAGCTGGGCAGACCACGTGCAGACCTGATCCCACTACACCAGACTATCACTGACCTACAGGTACTGCTGTAGTATTAATGGACAAGATCTTAGAGGAAACTGGGCCACCCTCACTTCTCAACCCTGTGCTGAGGCCAGGCCCAGAGCCTGCCCTACTGGGTGCAGAACCCCTGGGGGCTGTGAGACAAATACAAGGCTAGCGGGGGAGGGGATCAGATCATACTTCCTTAAGAGTGTTAACTGCATCCTTTGAGCAGCTGGAAGCACTGGAGGCAGAAGAATAACAACTTATTACAACTTGAAATAGAAATCACTTGTGTAGTTGCCCTAGGCCTGCCTTCCTAAAAACTACATTTGCTTGTCAAAAGCATTTGTATTTAGAAACATTTCAAGAACACATTAAAGTAGAAAGAAGAATATAATGACCTCTCCTTACATCCATCACCCAGGTTGCATAACTACCACATTTACTTCACCCTGATGCCGAAAACTTGGCCTCTGTGCACCAGTGCTGAATCGAATCTCAGAGACAGAGTTTTGGGTGAAGTAGAAAAGAATAGCTTTATTGCTTTGTCAGGCAAAGGGGGACACAGCAGGCTCATGCCCCTCAAAACTGTGTGTCCCAACCTGGGAGGATCTGGTGAGGAGTTTTTATAGCAATGGTTCAAGGGTGGGGTTGCTGATAAGAATAAGGTGTATGCAGGGCCTGCACTCCTTTAATCTGGTCTCAGGTAATCTCTTGACAAGCTTCTGTGGTTCCTGAGGTTATCAAACTGTGACCTCTCTGGAGTGAAGAATACTTCATCAAGTAGTTAACATCTTCCATTTGGTGGGGGTTTTAGTTTGGCAGAACAGATTAAAGATATTGTTATGTATAGCCCTTGATGGGGAATGAGGACCCTGCCCCAAGGCTGCACTGTTGTTTCTTGACTGCTCCTCCCTTGTCTCAGCAAACCCACACACACACACCCCCACACACCCCCCCCCCACACACCCCCCAACCGGTTTTCTCTGATTAGCAACTGTTTGATCCTGCCCTTTGAAACTCAGGGAAGGCCATGGAGGCTGAATGGAGCCTATTTCCTACAAACAAGAAATGGGGAACACAGAATGGCTTTTATGCCCAGGAGCCCCTCAGAGTCCTGCTTGGTTACAGGACCTTGTCACATTAAACAAAATTAACAGTTATCCTTCATATTGCTTAATGCCAGATGCATAATTTAATTTTCATAATGGATGTAAATATGTCTTTTTTTATAAAAGCATTTATTTATTTATAAATTTATACAATTTTTAAAGGTCACACATCATTTACACCTATTACAAAATATTGGCTATATTCCGTGTTGTACAATACATCCTTGCAGCCTATCTTACACCCAGTATTTTGTATCTCCCATAAATATGTCTTTTAGAGCACGTTTTTGGAATCAGGATGTAAATAAGGCCCATTCAGACCGCTTCTGTATGTACCTCCATGCTGAAACTGAGCAGAGTCCTGTGGGGCCCTCCTGGGCACAAAAGCCTTTCCAGGTCCCCCATTTCTTATTTTCGGGAAAGGGCTTAAGCATCCTAGACCTTTCCTGAGTTCCAAAGGGCAGATTCAAACAGCTACTAATCAGGGAAATAGGGAATGCCGAAACAAAGGCATTTGCCGAACAGTCAAGAAACTGTAGTGTAGCGATTAAAGCGGGATCCTGGTTCCTCCTCACGGAACATACATAACAGGGCTTCCCTGCTAGCGCAGTGGTTAAGAATCTGCCTGCCAATGCAGGGGACACGGTTTTGAGCCCTGGTCTGGGAAGATCCCACATGTCACAGAGCAACTAAGCCTGTGCGCCACAACTACTGAGCCTGCGCTCTAGAGCCCGCGAGCCACAACTACTGAGCCCATGCACCACAACTACTGAAGCCTGCACGCCTAGGGCCTGTGCTCCGCAACAAGAGAAGCCACCACAGGGAGAAGTCCGCGCACTGCAACGAAGGGTAACCCCCACATGCCACAACTAGAGAAAGCCCATGTGCAGCAACGAAGACCCAGTGCAGCCAAAAATAAATTAAGAAAAAAAAAAGGAATATACATAACAGTATCTTTGAGTCCTTCTTCAGGAACTAAGGCCCCCACCCAGTTGGAGGATGGTAACTTCAGGCTGAGCACAAGATTCCTGGAGCACCGCCCTGTTACCTCACCACCAGCCAATCAGAAGAAACAACCCTGCAGCCCTCACGCCCGAATTTTACCTATAAAAACTTCTCCCCCCAAACCATCAGGGAGTTCAGGGTTTTTTAGAGCATGAGCCACCCATTCTCCTTGCATGGTCCTGCAATAAACCTTTCTCTGCTCCAAACTCCGATGTTTCAGTTTGTTTAGCCTCACTGTGCATCGGGCACATGAACTTGTGTTCAGTAACAATACTAGGGACTCCTTCTCATGGTATTTTCTTCTCATGGAAATGAGCTCTAGAGTCTACTTTTGCTTTCTGTTTCCTAATAATCATTGTAATTGAAAGAGACTGCATTTGCTTGCTATTTATCAGATGTTGTTTATAACTTGTTTATAACAGATGTTGTTTATAACATTCTTGTCCCTGGAAATGCTGAGGATAGAACTTGGGATGTTTCCCTTGTTGACTGTGTAGACTGAAAAAATACGTTACGTGCAACCTAAAAGTTGAGAGTTATGTTTTATTCGGTGGAAATTTTTAGGACTTAAGC